TTGAGATTGGTAGACAAAGAAGAAATAAGGAGTGTGGCGTGTTACTATCGGTTGAAATGGGTGATTCTTATAAATTAAGGGTGAAAATGGTGGACCAACTAGAAAGCCTCTCTTGGGCTACCGTTAGTTAGTCTATTACCTACCTCTTTTTCCACCAATAGGCTCTATCCATATCATTTTTGTCTTTTTCGTCTATCACTTTTTCTACCAATTTCAACAACCAGCCCACCGGCACCCCACATCTTATACCTGGTCCAACTAGTGCGGCATGTCGCACTAAATCACGGGGAAAATAATGATTATTCCGGGTGTGAATGTAAGCCTTTACTACAAAAGCCTTGCAGAAAAATAGGGGTTTGTTGCGAGAAAGCGCAACCCAATACATCCAATAGAGGCCGTAAGTTTTTGCGATTCAATCCTGGTGCTACCATTTTTCCAGTAGACGGGCAATATTCAAAAGCGTCATCAGAAAAGCTCACAATCAGCAAAGAAAACCCTGTTTTTCCGAAACCTGGCAAACTTCCGAAGCTCGATGCACACGGCACGGGAGCTGATCTGCCGTGCTAAGGAAAAACGCCGTATGAACATTCGGGAGTTGCCAAGCTTCCCTTGAAAAAACCTGTATTTTTGACAAAATTCATGCATATTTTTCCTTGAAATTTTCAGATATTTTAGATTAAATTGTGTACAAAATTGTCTGAAAATTTGAAAAAATAATGTTCACAATTTCTCCAGTAATTGCAGTTTTAAACGGAGGAAACTTGGCAACGTCTGAAGGCTCATACGGCGTTTTTCCTTAGCACGGCAGTAATGCGTATGCAGAACCGCCTTGTCATCGATGCAATAGTGCATCAGCACATCGACGGTGAAACTACCAAACCACGTATCTCGTTTGCGGTGTTTAAAAATCTACGCTCACATTTTATTTTTTTGAGGTAGACCAAATCAATATCATTCCTTGAAATTTTCACAGAATTTTCTCCGCACGGAGAGGAAAAATCACAGAAATTTTCAAGACTGGACGTTAAGTAGTTTTTCATTTAAAAAATAAAGTATGACAGGAAGTCTGCGACGTCGCAAACCGAGATACGTGGTTTGGTAGTTTCACCGTCGACATGCTGCAATTTGGGATGCGCACTCCCAGGAGTAATATCCATTCATTGAAACCCATCCGAGCGAGAAAAAAGAAGTACAAGTTTGAATAGGGGGAGAGGGGGGGGGGTGAAAATTTACACCACTCTCTCACGTGCCTACAATGCACCGATGTAATAAAGACATTGTTTACCGAACGTGAGCGCCGCCAGTTATGGTTCGTGTCGTGAGGCAACTCGAGTCCGCGAGACTAATTATGCAGCGTCTTCGCACTTTTCGCGTCTCTCGAGATGTGCAATGGTTGATTTGTCTTCCTCTTGTCAACACTATAACAATAATTTGCCGTTCCCCGCACCATAGAATGTAACTAAATTTCAATGTTGATGAATTTCTTCCCGGAAATTGCATTTTTACCGGGAAAATCATGGTCACTTCTAATTGAAAATTCCTCTGATTTTTTTTTCTGATATCCAGGGCCGGATTAAAGGTGTGACCACATGGGCCACGGCCCATGGCGGCAAAATTAGGGGGCGGCAAATTTTTAAATGCAGGTACAAAAAAATCGGATTCAGAAAAAAATTACAAACAAGAAAAGGTGACAAAATCTCTCATTTCCTGAGAGTTCATTTATTTCTAATTTTGTCGTATTTCGGTGATACAAAAGACTGCGCACCTTTAATTAGTCGAGTTAAGAGAGAAACCAAACACGTAATTTGGCCTGGAGCGACGCGGCGCAAAGAGAAATGATGACGAGGACTTGAGATGAAAAGGAGAAACCCTCGACGCGGCGGTCGGCATGTAACACAAATTAGCGCCTACGAGACTGCATGAATACTTCACGCATTGCGTCAAACACAGTACGGTCAACAGCGGTCGGCGCGGCGTGAAACGCACAGTGCCTACAAGACTACATGAATACTTCACGCATTGCGCTAAACACAGTGTGGTCAGCGCGGCACGGCGGGGGAAGTTAAAGTTATTAAACCTTATTTAAGTTTGTTCTTTCTTAGTTTTTTCGTTCATTTCTTACAGATGAAAGGCCTTGTCCCCACAGAGATAGGTTTACGGAACTGAACTTTGGCGCGAAGTTCCGTGAACTTTTGCTAGTATTGTTGACACGGCTTACGCAAAAAAAGTGTTCAACACGAGTGAACGCGTCTTATGCACCCTTCTCCCTCCGTCACGTTCACGTGATGGTTTATATTGATGTTTCAAAATGAATGAGATGAGGGCGGCAAAATACAGGCGGCCCATGGGCGGCAAGTAGGTAAATCCGGTCATGCTGATATCATGCAAAAATCAGACGTACTTTGAAAAAAAATTACCTTGATTCATTCGTATGAAAAATTGTATTATCTGAGTCCATTTTGAAACCTTGGGATAGAGTTACGTTCCTTCGTCCAAGTCCAAGGAAAGACGGATGGTAACCGTCCATGGAAAAAGAAACCCCAACCCACGGAATCCTCGCTTCAAATTAATTGCACTATATTTTGCGGTCGAGAACTACGATTTCTGACTCAGTTTAGAAATAATGTGTCTACCATTAGTTTCCCTATGCACATAAGTGTTTTCATAGATGAGCCGGGAATTATAGTTCCTGATTACAAAATGAAGTCCAATTCTCCATCGAGTAATTCATACCAGAATATTATTTGTACCTACCAGCGGGTCGATTGTTGAATCGTTATCGAATGAGTTTGATCGATAACTCTCTATCTCCACGACGCTATATATCGATCAAGGTTATTCGATAACGATTCAACGATCAACCTACAGGCGTGTTTTAGAATTTTTCCGATCACACTTAAAGAGTTTTTTCAGCTTTACTGCTTTACTGGAAAAAAAACACACTGGATCTAGAGTCCAGACTCTTAAAAACATCGACAAGAAAAAATACTCTTGATTCAATCGGATTTTTGCTTAAATCAAGAACCAAGCCTCTTAATTTGAGCGGATTTCCTTTTGATTTAAGCTTAAATCTGCTTGAATCAAGAGTCATTTTTCTTGTCAATGTTTTCAAGAGTCTGGATTCTAGATCCAGTGTGTTTTTTTTCCAGTGTTGGATCTAATTTGATATAACGTAGAATTTCTAAAGAGACGTCACAAATGAACTTTCGGACGTTGCCAAATTTCACCTCATCAAATTATTTATTTTTCAGTAAAATTGTGGATATTTTTCCTTGAAATTTCCATGTACTTTGGATTAAAATTGTCTAAAAAATTGTAAGAGCAATTTTAAGAGGTTCCCTTAGCTAAATTGTATTTTATCGAAGGAAATTTGTGATATCCAAATGTTCAAACGGCGTTTTTCCTTATAACGGCAGTATTAGCGGCGCTTCTCGAATCTCGCGCGGAAACTTGACTTGGCGATGGACGCAAAGGTCGAGGCAAACACGGGTCAGGTTTTCTCGCAGTGCGCGGTGGTCATGGTTGCCAGATTGGACCGTAAAATTAACACTTTCCCAGGAAACTCGATTAAAAATAAGCATATGTTATTGCACGAAGTGGCAATCACGGCGGTGGTCGAAGAAGGAAGAAAACCGGGTAAAAATGGCACAAGGAAAACAGCATAGTCAGATGTTTACTCGTTCGAAACTTCCAGATTTTTACGCGAAAGCTCCGACTCAAGACGCTCGCGCTCTGCAGATCTCCTCGCTCGATCAAAGCGAGGTCTTGGAAATGGGTCAGAAAAGCTTTTCCCAACCTTTTCCTTTGAAAAATGAAAAAAAAAAAGGTTTCGAAACAAAAGTTTCCATACTTATACCTTTGATGTAGTTTACACTTGGATTAAATGAAGTTCAAGGAGACTTTAATATGGATTGCATTTTGCAAAAAGGAACCACTAGCATTACAATGATGCTAAAATTTTGCAACTTCATCCTTTGCAATAAAATTGCGGAAATCGTGAAAAACTATGAAATTTAGATGGTAATTTTTGTCTTAAATTCACAGTTTTTAGTGTGTAAAATAAAAACTATTAATGAATAATCGGGTTTTTCCTCAAAGACAAAGAAGTCGCACAATCTTAGCAACATTGCAATGCTAGTGGTTCCTTTTTGCATATAGCATCATCAAAGGGAAAATGTTTACAAATCCTGAGTGAATTCAATAGCATGAGTGTAAAAATAAATCTTCGCGAGAAACTGCAGTGGTATGCTACCACAAAAAATAAGAGATATAACCAAAGAAAAAAAGTAGGTTCGTGACCAATTTGACGTCTCTCAAATTCTCAGAATGTATATTTTTTGTTCCCTTTTTTATGGTGGCAAACCAGTGCATAACCGCTGGCGAAGATCTACTTCCAAAGCTGTACATTAAATTGAAATCCACTCCGGATTTTAGAAAATGGTATTTTTCATGACACTATATCATGGATCTCCTTCTCCCTTGACCGCTGAACCACGATGTAAACCATAGAGGAGCCTCCCTGAAAAAATGATTTGTCAAAAAACGCCTTCGAATACACCGTTTAACTTGAAGTGCGAGTATTGTGGACTTGCAATGATGAGTATCAACAATAGAATAGAGTCAGGATCGATGCACAACGGTAGACTCAATATTATTCACCGATTGACGTAACGCTTTTGACGGTTCCAACGAGATGATAACCAGTGGTGTGGCGTGAATGATCGATTATCGATATCTCGCCATTTGAAGCTATGGTAAAGAATCGATCACTAAGGTGTTCGCTGCGAACACCCTAACGATCGATCTTTTTTCATAGGTTTGAGTGGCGTATCAATCGATATATCGCAAAGGCCTGCTCCGTGCCGTCTTATTCATACGGTCAAAGCGAGGTCATTATAGACGCGATCGTCTGAATCACTTATCAAGTCTCCTCATTTAAATTTCACTCAAAACCAAATGTACGAATAAGTTTTAATTTCATGATTTTTTGTTTGTTCCAGCGACCTACTCTGAGCCTTGTATCAGGAACAGCCCTGACTTCAATGCCTGTCTCAAAAAAACCATTCAGTACCTCATCCCAAAGTTTGCTCTCTCAGGTGAGTTTTCAAGACTTCTCGTCGTTCACTGGAAAAAAACCACATTGGATCTAGAGTCCAGACACTTGAAAACATCAACAAGAAAAAGTACTCGTATTTCAATCAGAATCTAGCTTAAATCAAGAACCAAGCCTCTTAATTTAAGCGGATTTCGTTTTGATTCAAGCAAAAATGCGATTGAATCAAGAGTATTTTTCTTGTCAATGTTTTTAAGAGTCTGGACTCTAGATCCATTGTGTTTTTTTCCAGTGTTGTGTTCAGTTCGAAACATTGCAGATAATGACTTAATTTTAAAATACGGTGGTGGGCAACACATAAAACGGCTGCGGGCGAGGAACGACTGAGAGACTTAAACGCGCCGTTAGAAAAGTGAGAAAATTCCCCGGACATCACGAGGGCGCATTACACATGCCTCATCACAGCGAGTTTATCATTTTATTTTTAGAATAAGGCCTTGAAAAATTTAATATGTAATGAACGAGGCGACAAAAAGAGATACCATTGGTAGTGAATATTGCGGAGAATAATTTGTTTGTATATTATGCGTTGACTGTAATCGCGATGAGACCGCGAGAAAAACAATTCACACTTATCCGCTAAAATTTCAACACTAGCAAGACTATAAAGGAGGTAAAAAAGTATGTTTCTCAAATTGCGGTGGTAGATCATACTCGTTTATTGCTCTCCTTGCTTGAACTTCATCTTAAGTTTCACCCCTTGATTCACTTATTGGAAGATATTCGGTTCAACCATACTGATCCGCTCAACTCAAAGGAAACCTAAAAAGTCCTAGTAGCTCAGCTTGTAAAATAACTGATAAAAACAGGTGAAACTTGTAATTAATTTGAGTTCAAAGGTTGCACGAAAAATAACTCGTAAAGAAGTCATGTATGATCAGAGTTTACAAGTTTCACAGAGCACATTCGCGGATAGAGGGGTGAGAAAAAATGGAAGAATATATTGGGTTTTCTACGTATTGTGCAGGTAGAAATGCTACATGACGTTACTTTCGGGTTTATTTTATTACTTCTTACTGGTTTTTACACTTTTTAGAAACAAAAAAAAAAAATAATAATAATAATAAATTGTGCCTCTTTGTGCTACTGGAGAGGGAGTTGAAACATAAACCCTCCGAGAAATGTTCGATTTTTTCTGTCAGACTTGGTGAGTTACAAGCACAGATCCTTGCTAGAAGTTTTCCTTGAGCTTTGTTTCTCGCACGCGACCTCTGAGTAGACGGTTTGCTGTCGGTTGCAGTGAACCTTTGGCCATCAGTTAGGTCTACGACGCAGCATTTTCTCACTGTGTTGCCGAACTTAGCACTGGAAAAATAAACACATTGGATCTAGAGTCCAAACTCTTGAAAACATTGACAAGAAAAAATACTCTTGATTCAATCAGATTTTTGCTTAAATCAAGAGGAAATCCGCTCAAATTAAGAGGCTTGGTTCTTGATTTAAGCAAAAATCCGATTGAATCAAGAGTATTTTTTCTTGTCGATGTTTTTAAGAGTCTGGACTCTAGATCCAATGTGTTTTTATTCCAGTGAGCCCGGAAAATGTAACTGCTCACGGGAAAAGGGAATTCGGTCCACAAAAACACGGTCATAAATGAGCTGAACCCAGACTTAAAAATAGAAGTTCTACGATGTTAGCAACTTTTCGATATACTTTTTATTCCTTTTGTAATTGCAGGCCTGTATTGCTAGAAATATTGCACCAATCGCTTTTTACGGTCGAAGAATGTATTAATCAAAGGAATCGACGATAACCTTCACTGGAAAAAAAAACACATTGGATCTAGAGTCCAGACTCTTAAAAACATCGACAAGAAAAAGCACTCTTGATTCAATCAAAATCTAGCTTAAATCAAGAACCAAGCCTCTTAATTTAAGTGGATTTCATTTTGGTTCAAGCAAAAATCCGATTGAATCAAGAGTATTTTTTCTTGTCAATGTTTTCAAGAGTCTAGACTCCAGATCCAATGTTTTTTTTTTTTTTTTTTTTTTTTTTTTTTTTTTCCAGTGTTACCAATATGTCTCTAAAATGATTGTCTCTGGCAACTTTGGATGGCGTTTGAGACGTTCTGCTATTTTGATGTTTTTATGAGCGCCCGAAAAAATGACATGAATTGATAATGAGCACCCCAAGTTGCCAAGTCACTTCAGCTCCACGCTCATACTTATGCCACTCTAATAATACCGATACTTAGTTGTTTAGGAATTCTCTCAGCGATTTACCATGCCACCTCCTTTTCAGGAGACCTCTAAAATGCTCGATCTCTTCGCCGCCGCACTGTGGATCGAGTCCATTAGAGAGGTCGGACAAGAAATTCTTCAGTGTAACTGCAAATTTTGGTGTTTATCTCGTCACATTTTTAATTATAAGAAGTGCTAATAGAAGAAAATTTCTAGAAATTAAGAAATTTCCAGAATTAGAAGAAACCAATGGAATCACTTCTAGAACCTTAAAGTTAAGGGTAAATGGAGGTATGAGCTTTTAAAAATTCCAAATTTTGTCCGACCTCTCCTATTGACTCTATTCACTGTGCTCCGTCTCGGTACAGAGCTCTGTTTGCGCTCAATAGCGTTTCATTGAATTAAATCAGGATCGGTTTTGAAAAAGCTAGGAGGTGGTTCTGAGTAAAGTTTTTCGGAGAAAAAAGTTTGCTTTAAATTTACAGCTTGAGAACATGAGTTTGTTATGAAGCTCTGCAATTCTCGGTCAGCAAAATGCTCCTCAGTCCTCGTGTTAAGATTTAATTCTAATCATCAAATTTTGCAACGTTGATCACCAGTATGCATTTACGGAAAGCAGGCTACGTTGGTAACATATGGAATTTCATGAAATTTGCTATCGACGGTAAATTTGCAATTTTCCTAAATTTCAGAAACATCGGTGAAAATTCATGTTTTTGTGAAAATGGCAGCATTTATGAGAGTTATGAAATTTGGCAACAATTTGGAACTTCCTTGAATTTCAAAGCAAAGTTGCGTCAGTAAGGTTGCAACATGCGTCAACCTCATTGTGACAAGTTGCAATTTCTCTACCGATTATGTCGTTAAATATAGGTCCTTGTCGTCGAAGTGTTGTCTTCAAGTTCCAACATAATTGAAACTTAATGCATAAATTTTCGCGATATTACTTCAACTTGTTGCAACTTTTTCTCTAGAAAAGCTACATTGGAGGGTATAATTTTTAGGGTGATTGTGTGTTCCCCATCTTCTAGGTTCTGGATGCGGAAATTACCTTCCGAGGTCATAGTGACGGATTGGACAACTGTGAATGGAGATTTTAAATTCTTCGGCAACTTTATTACAGTTATTAAAACTTCATTACAGCACTTCCCTTCACTGAGAAAAAAACACATTGGAACTAGAGTCCAGACTCTTAAAAACATCGACAAGAAAAAATACTTTTGATTCAATCGGATTTTTGCTTAAATTAAGAACCAAGCCTCTTAATTTGAGCGGATTTCCTTTTGATCTGAGCTTAAATCTGATTGAATCAAGATAATCGAGATGCCAACATTAGACAACAGACTGCCACATTACTATCAGAGAGTAATGGACCAAGGTGTCCCGCCGTCAGACCTGTGGGAATGAGAGTAATCATCAAGGCTTCGAATACAACTATTCGTACTCGAAATATGTCTGTGCTGCATACACGAAAAATTGAAGGTGTTTTGGATTTTTTCCCTCCTTACCAACGATAATCTACGCGCGAACGCGCAGTTTGAAGTCGCTAAAATTTCTCCAGGAAATGTTTTAAACATTTTAGTGCATGCAACGTCAGTATATTTGAAAGAATAGAATTTAAGCCACTTTAAGAAACTATTTTTGTTTAAGTCTCTGGACATTCAGACTAGAGTTTGACAACGATTTCAGGTTGAGTGCTCTACCTCCTTTCTTTTCATGAGTCGAGTGCCGTTCTGTTTTGAAATTACTCAATGCATTTCTCAATTCTGAAATAGACTGAAGCAATTTCAAATGCAAAAGTCTGCCTCGCCGTGACATGACAAATGGACTGCTTACTCAAAAAACTGCCTGACTGGATTGCTTGCTTTATTAGCTCCAAAAACAAGACCAACATAGACTGTCATTGTATGATTTCTCAGTATTTCCTTTTGAGGGTATAGAATATAAAATCAAGGGTGCCGCGCAGGCATACTCAAATTTAACTTTTTGTCAACCCTGAGGCAACTAGTAATATGCGGTCCCTCATCATTACAGCGGGGAAAAAAGGTACCAAGAGAGGTCAGAGTGGACTCTTCCCCTGGAAATTGCCAGTAAATTGTGTCCCTTTGGAGGATTTTTGACTTATTTTCGTCAAATTGCCCGCGCGTAACCTTGCCTTGAAAAACAAAATGACTAACTTTAAGGACTTTTCTCCGCCTTCTTCCATTTCCCTCTGTGAGGCAACATATCGCCGTCGATAATTTTGCGCTCAGCGCGTATTGCGGGAAGCGCAAAGAGAGTCAAAACGCCTTCAGTTTTTTGCGTATGCAATATGGACGTCCATCGAGCACAAATAGTTGTATCAAGGCGCCTGACATCGACGCGTCTCCGCGTCCACCGAAAAATAGAATTGCAGTTTGTGTGCTTAGGGTCGAAACGCCTTCAGCTTTTGGTGTATGCAATACGGACATCCATCGAGCACGAATAGTTGTATTAAGGCGCCTGACATCGACGCGTCTCCGCGTCCACCGAAAAATAGAATTGCAGTTTGGGTGCTTAGAGTCGAAACGCCTTCAGCTTTTGGTGTATGCAATATGGACATCCACCGAGCACGAATAGTTGTATCAAGGCGCCTGACATCGACGCGTCTTCAGTCCACCTTTGAACGTTACTTAGGAGAATTGATTTAAATGAAATTCATAAAATGTTAAAAACACGCTTTGATTTCGGACGTTTATCTGTACAGGTGTTCCTGAATTGAACATGACTGGTTTGGACCCGCTCTATGTCCCAGAATACATCCAAGATTATGAAGGTGGAGAAATATACGGCAAGGGAATTGTCAAGAACTCCTATGTAAGAGGACTTGCTGGACTCAAGGTCTTGGATGTCAGGTGAGTGTATATGAAACATAGTTTATGGTCAAACTGTGCTTACAAAGGAATAAAAAACTATAGAAATTTGCTGAAATTATATACTTTTATTTGTGTTAAACGTCTTTTTTTTCGAATAGCCACAAACATTTATACTATATATTGAATGAAATGGGACTGAATAGCATTTCCCATTCAAAACATGTCACTTACTTCCAGAAGCAAGAGTTCTGAAGCTGCATTTAAAAAATATAGTGACAGGGGGAAAAGCTCACGCAGGCCTTTTAATTTAGGTCTTTAAAAGAATGATCTAGGATGAGCTGTAGACCAGATTTGTTGGTTTGGAACGTGTTTCAGATTCAGTTTGACATACAAAGGATCCATGAAAATGATTCTTGCGGTGCAAAATCCTGAACACAGTTTCTTGAAGATTTTCACGACATAATACTGAGCCACCATTAAAAAAGTATCAAATACAGCGCCACCCCTCATTTTAAAATATCATCCATTCTCAATTAATACTCAAATTGTGATTGTTTTTTGGGACTACAGATCCAAAGTCAATGATCCTGAAAGAATGGTGTTGGAAGTCGACTTCTTACTGCCAAAACTCCAATTTGACGGAACCTACAAGATGGAAGGTGCCATTGGAGATTTAGTTGTCCAAGGCCGAGGTGTTTACGGAGCAAACATGAGTAAGTGTGGATCATTTTAAAAATTTTCATTTAAAGTTTTTAAGTTAAGCCTTGCGTTTGTAAGAGAATATGCAAATTATCCCTAAAAAATGACATTTCGTCGCTCCTCTGATGTTAGCGCGTATCTCAATTTCCACATGAGTTCTAAGCTGCATATAACTCTATGCTCTCTGGGGCTCATGAGGAAATAGTGACACGCTCTTTTGTTAGAGAAAAGATGTTCAGGAACTTCAAACAAAGGAATAATACTTCAACAGCTGTCTCTCTAATTTTTTAAGAAATTTACAAAACAGTTGCGAAAAAAAATAGAGGTAGGTATTTTTTCTGATCATGATATGGTATCACAGTATTTTGAAAAACTTCAATTTTAACTAAAATTTTCTCTTTTTTTAAATGATTTTAAATTTTTTGTTTCTTGGTTAAGCATAACAAAAGCATGTCTGTCTTTCTCCGTAACCCATGTTCTATCAACTTCTCTCAATGATAACTCATTTTTAACTCTTCTTTTTTTCTTAGCTGACATCACTGGAACCTGGAAACTCAAGGGACACAGAGTGACTGTTGATGGTGAAGACTACATGAAGATTCACGAATTCCATGTAAGACCTCAAATTGGAGACGCTAAGTTCCATGCCACCAATCTCGTAAACGGAAACCAAAGACTGAGTAAGTACAAATGGCTTTAATAATAATGGACCATTGCTTAAATGACTGACACATGGCAAGGTTAAAAATCTAGTAAAATTTCAACATTTTCTGATAACTGAGAGAAAGCTTGACGACTTAGATTAAATTCTATGACTTTCCCTAAATATTACGGAGAAAAAATTCATGACTATCGCACTCAGGTCAGTGAGCTCTGTTAGTGAAAATGTCAAGGATCCGTGAAATATTAAACGACAATATTTGACCACATTTCGCCAAAGAGACCAACTTTTATGGAAGGAAAAGAGTCTTCTCATTAGGAGTATTTAGCAGAACTTCTCATTCATTTGGACACTTAGAATGTTCGCACCGAACATTATAATTCCAATGAGCCGCAGGATATTTGGTTATCTAGTTAAATCCAGAAAATGCAGTGATACTTGAATATTCGGAATATCAATTGATGATTATAATTGGTCGAATTGTCATTTGAATATCACTAATCTCAACAGGAAATATGAATATGAATGGCTAAAGAACAATACCTTCTATCTAAAAACTGAAAATTTTGAGGATGAAGAAAAAACTTTGCAATTTTTGTACTTTAACATAAGGTTTGTAATTTTTTTACAAGCATTACAGAGTCATTACATCCTTCCCATGCAAAATCGGACACAACGAAAAACATCAACTTGCGTATTTTAAACTGTAGAATGCAGCGAAGTCGTTAATTCATTTTCGCCAAAATTATCAGTTATCAGAGGGTATTTTTCCTTAGCTATCGATAAACATTTTGAAACGGGTCTTAGAAACGATGTCAATTATCCTATCCAGGGTTCAGACCAAAATGCGAATGGACTTTTTTAGTTCATTGTTGTAAATCACACCAAAAAAAAAATGAGAGACGCTCAATAACTAATTTTCCTTTCTGTTTACAGGCCAAGTCGCCCTGACTTTTGTCAACCAATTCTGGCGAGTCCTGTATGAAGCCATGTTACCTTTTGCTGAGTCTGGATTTGACAAAGTTGCCCGCCCTGTACTCAACCAAGTGTTCCTCACAGTTCCTTATGACCAACTCTTCCCCCTCGCCAAGAACTAAAATTGAAAACTTTGAACAGTTTAAGTTTAAGCTGACAATTCCACTTGCAATTCATGATAACAAATCAAACAAGTTCAAATGAAAGCTTATCAATTGAAAAATCATATCAACAAAAAAGTTAACAAATTGAAAGTAAAGACAAATTTACAGGAGCTTTCTCCTTTCACTTATCTACAAGCAAAGACATGGATTGATAAATATCTCGCCCCATAATATTCACTGGTATAATATTCCTTTCAATGCTCATCTCACTTCAGATTTAATTGTTATACATACTTGTTATTGAATAAATTTTGTACTTTTTTTTTTTTTAAAACCTCGTTTTGACTTTCTTTTGCCTATCCTAACTAGATGATTAAGCATATTTTGTTTTCGATACATGAGTATTTTTGTCAGACACTTAAGGTAGTGCCAAATTGTGCAAGTAAATCCGGGTCTTATTTTAATATGTTACTGTCTTCTAAGGCAAAGATGAAATTATTGGATTCAACGTAGAGCAAAGAACCAAAGCAACTGGTAACAAAAAGATTTAAATTTTTATTTTCCCTTGAAAAAAGAGAACTTAATCTTACATTTGTACAAGATAGATAACATTAATTTTCGGATCATTTACAATTCCATGGCAGCAGCGGGTGGTTCAGCCAATTCAAGATCGCGACACTTGGCGCTATTCAACTCACGTCTGATTTCTGCAGAGATTGTAGGATGACTTTGACTCCTCAGCAACTTGAGTAGGGCTTCTTTTTGCTCCGAACTGATATCGCCCTTGTACCGCTGACAAAAGGTCAACAGGGCTTGGTGCCACAGGACTGGGAGCTCGCGGGGGTCTCTTTCGAACCTGAAAAGCATAATTAATAAAAACATGATTAATATTACGATGGTTGTACTAATTTTCATTTCTGATCTTGACTCTCGACTCCCTGGTAAGTCATTACACTTACTGCAAGATTGACTTGCGAATAATTATAAAAGCATATCAAATTCATATTAAAAAGAATTATTTATGAAATAATTTCCAACTTGGTTTCTGCAATATGTACTAATGATGATTAAAAAGTTGTCTTTACTAACTGATTTACATTTTCATTGACATAAACTGTGTAGACGAGGTTAAATATGTGCACCCCCTTAGCAGGGGTGCAAATACTTTCATGCAAACTAACTCTGCTGTTATTTTTTTCCCCATTCATGAGTCTAAAATTTCGTACTTAGTTTTTTAAAATACAAATCATGAGAAAATGGGACCATAAAAATTAGGAGGAAAAAGAAATATGCCCCTAAGAGTTAAAAATTAATCAAAGATTTTGAATTTTCGATTAGAAAGTTTTAAACACTTCAATTATACACTTTTAATGACATTTACCTTAAAAAGTGAAAGACTGCTGCATCAACAACTCGGTAAGGAAGTGCATATTTTTTATCAAATAGAATTCTTAGGAATATTGAGTTGGCACCATTGTAATCCATTTCTGCTAATTTTAAGATAGCGGCTGCTGAGTGGAGCATTGGAATTGAGTTCTTGGCCACCACAGAACCAATGATGATAGCCTCCCGTAAGGTGCATGTTCCACTCTGTAAAAAAAAGAGGAGAAATCATGAATGAACATATGACAGTAATCAAACTGGACAAGCAGGGTCAGTAATTTGTGTAGTCAACAATTCGCGAACCAGAAATTTCTCCTCCACACGACTGATAGGGGGGCCAGTTTTTAGTAGCACAAGGCAGAAGGACACCTGCCATCATTATTTTGAGCGTTAAATTCACACTCCATCTAGATAAAAGCGAGGAGTTAATTTTAACAAAGAATTTGAAGAGAAAACGCTTGGACCCTTTGACGTTCAAAAATCTAGTCATAGATTGAAATCTCTAACTGTTTCTTCCGGATCGTAAGCAAATACATGCTTGAAAAGCGATTGACAAAATAAAGCGCTTAATTTTTTGCAAAGGAGTAAAATTTGTTAGTCCCTTTTTATTCTTCTGGGAACATTTGTAAAAAGGACACTGGAACAGCCATAAAAAGCACTGACCGCTTGCTTTGTCTTTAAAACAGAAAAATTCCGTGAAAGAAAAAAACCGGATGAGTGGTGAGTGCTTTTAGTGACTTTTAAAAAAATTTTATTAAAAAAATTCTGTTCAGTGCTTTAAAACTTTGGTGATTATATTTTCATCATTAAAAATGTATTTCTCTTATGGAAGTAGCATCTCAGAATTAAAAGAAAAAATCCATAAAAGTTAACTGGCACCATGAAATCTTTCAGAGTATCTTGACTGTTATGAAGTCTACTTCAATAAAAGCCTACCTCACAGAGAGGGAGTAGAATGCCTTTCATAAATGCTGCAGGCTTGAACAAAGCTTTCCTAAGAGCTTGAAAGATGTGGAAATTCAGTCTTTTAAATTCTTGAATATCATCCCTTGCTCGGGGTAAGAGCACCAGATTATAAAACCTTTGCGCCATTTTTTCCTTAAGGTTAGATGCAAAAATTCTTGTTGCTTGATACATTGCAGCGGCACTCCAGCGATGTGGTTCTGTAACAAATCAAACTCCGTATTGATAAAAGGTGAAAAAATTTGATGCGAAAATAGACCTGGATAGGGAAATAACATAACCATAAGAGCTTTTCCTTCAAATTACAGTAGATGTCTCTAAATGCCTGTAGGCTCCTTTACTGGAGTAAAAGCCACTAAAAAAAACAAGAAGAAGAGCTTTATCTTCAATTATATGACTGATTTTTTGCTCGACTGTTTCTGAGTCTTGCACAAATGCCAATTTGATTAACCTTTTCACTACCAGAGCTGAAGGGTACAAAAGCTGCTGTAAGTCAGCATGCGATATAAATCATTGGTTTAAATTAAAATTGTCAAAGTTTTAAAGATTGAAAAGTCATTATCCAACTAAGTTTTGTGGCAAAAAATAGTTTGTTACTGGAGGGGTTTTTGTAAATACTTTGAAGCAGCTGTTTCACTTTTTCTTGGAAGAATTGATACACGGACTCAGTTAAAACTTAATGCGGTTTTTTTTTCAAGTTATAATTTTCATTTAAATTTAGAATAAAAAATTGGAACTTTTTCTGCGGGTGGGAAAAAAAATTCAATGGTTGTTTTCAATAAAATGTGTTAATACGACCTTGAATGGAACAGGAGAATCTGAGAATATTACATTGCAAAGAAAGAATTTTGAAAGTTTTAGAAGTTGATCCTGAAAAACATTACCTGTCAAGTAAAGGATTTGCTCCCAATTATTCAGTTTTGGGACTATTTTGAAGGCTTTGGGTAATTTTCCACTCCTGTATTTGATTAGAACATCTCTGACACCAATATACAGTTCTTTTACTTTTGGATCAATATCTTGCATGACTAAACCTAGTAATGGAAGAGGATCAGAATTAGTATACACTCAGACAGACAAAGTCATTACATTGATTGGTTTACTTTTCATGTAGGAAAAAAGAAAAGAAAGAACTTTTTAAAATCAGTAAGCGCTCTATTGAAGTTACAGAGTCATAATTGGACGTCCAAATTGATCAAAGCTGTATTGGAAGTAGACCATTTTATAGCTTCTATGAATGACGCATTTGTCACTGTTGCCGAATGCAAAATTATTAAAATCATCCATCATTTCAAATGCCATCATTTTTTTCCACACAGAAAAACAACAGATAAATTGCGATCTGCGAAATACTTCCTCCATTTTCTTTTATGCCTTGATGCATTTCTACCAACATTTCACAAAACCAAAGGGTATACCAATGAATTTTATCCCAACCAGAAAATCAAGTTTTCTATGAAGTTAACCAAAGCAGCAGAATCGCCAATTATTTGAAGTACACAGCTCCTAATTCTTCAGAAAGTAGCAACACTATTTTACTTTTTCTCTGCTTAAGAGGCTGAAATGAGGGTTATTAGGTACAGAGGTAAAAGGAAGAAACATTTTTTTACAAATTAATGTACAGGTTTCAAAAACTTACTTTCTTTATCGGTAAACTGCGTGGTGAGTTCAGTTTTCTTTTCAGTGATTTTGTCTTTGATGAGGTCAGCCAACGTTAACCTGGGGGCTGGGTTGGCTGACATGAATTTCTCGAGAGCCTTTTCGTCCTCTTCATCAACTTGCTAAAAGACAAAACAAAATAGTTAGGAAAATCCACAGAGAATAAGTTTAGAGCTCCATTAAACCGTTGACAGAATTCCTGAAAGAAGGATTCCTTAGAAGCTGAAAAAATGGGATACACAGCTGGAACGTGATAATGAAACTTTTCTTAGTCAAAAAGGCACAAACCTATGCACTGCTTTTGATGAAGTAGTCAGAGGCGGAGAGTAAGTAGATTTTAAAATGTTGATGCCACACATGGTAAATAAAGTGTTTACATTTTTAAAAATGGGCCTCTAGATGTAGTTTGAATAAAAGCATGTTTCCTCTTCAAAATTCCACGAGAAAAAACTAATTCCACTGAGGGAGGTCTAGAAATCGACTCCTAAACAAGGTATAAGTGTTTACAATTGAGGCACTTGATGCGAAAAGGGCACTTCTCGATTGCAGTGTTTCAGCATCTCTGTTGCCAATTAATCCCTTGGAGAAGACTATAATGGAAGATTTTTCCAGAATTCTTTCTGTAGAAAATTGTAGAATCATAAGGAATATTCAGTAGCATTTTTAGTGAAATGGATGCATTCACTTTCCTTACAATGAATAAGATATTAGAGAAGACTCTGAAATACTGCAACCGAGAAGTGCCCTTTTTGCATCCAGTGCCTCAATTAGCATTTGTTACATGATAAAAATACAAATGATGTCATTTGTATAATCTAACTTAACTTTGATTTGATCTGTGTTAAAATACTATATAATATCTCTTTTAGGAGTTGATTTCCAAACTTCACATTGTTTGGATCGTTTCCTGCGTAGGATTTTCTTCTCTTCTTCTTAGAAGCGTAGGATTTTGAAGAGGAAAAATGCAACTTCTTTTCTAAATAAGCCCTTGTTTAATGGCTTAATTGGGGTAATGTTAGAGAGCTAAAAGTGACAAGGAAAAACACAATAATATATTTCCTTTGAAAAATACACTAAAAAGATAAAGAGCAAAATTTAAACTTACAATATCATCGAAAAATTCATCACCAGCAGATTCTGGCATATGATCTTCATCATCAGCATCTGAATCATCCCCAGCAATGTCATTGCCTAATTTGGTAGTGGGTACAACTTCAGGTCCTGGAAAACAAGAAAATCGATTCTCTTAATGAATTATTTCATCATATTTACCTATGTAATGGTAAGTATTCCTTCTCATGGATAATAAGAGTAGATAAAAATAACTAATGCTTACACATATTTATGGAAAGCGCTACCAATGCAAATGCGCTGCAGGCTCAAAGTTGTGATTGTATGTAACACTTTTTTGTAGGGTTGAAAATATCAATAAAAAATACGAATCTATCCATCTGTTTTTCTAACAATCTACTATTACCGATGGGAAACTGAGTTCAAAAACACATAGTAAGACCCTGAATATTTTTCCCAAAAATTATATTAGTGTCGTTAGTATTTTAGATACATAGTGCAAGATAGGTGCTAGATAAATGGATACAAGTTTAAAAATGGGGGGTAACGGAGATGCAAATTAACAGCTAATATCTGATACACCATGAGAGCTCTAGGCATAAGCTTCGGGGCTAGGTAAACAATCAGAAAATATGAGCCACCGTTGATCGGTACAATAAATTTCTCCCACCAATTTGCGTCAATACGAGAGTGGAATCAAAAGCTTTTATTCGATTACAACACTGTTGACTGCTTACGGAGCGAAATTAGAGAAAATTCAGTACCGAAAAATGATAAGAGCAGAGGCATATTGTAACCAAGAGCTATGAAAGTGAACAAACCTGTTAGGCCAAACTCTTCAGCAATTTCTTCTTGTTGTTGCTTCGCCTGTCGTAAAATCTTCCTTGACAATTTTGGATCAACATACTGGAAACAAAAATAATTAAAGATTAAGAAGGTTGAAATATGAAACTTTTCCAACAGTTTCTCTGTTAACATTTCTTTCCTAATACGTTTTAACAAGGTGAGGATGGCCACGGCTGAACATGAAATATATTCAAGGCTGTACTTACCCGAGTAAAAACAAATATATTCTTGGTTTGAGAGTTGCTGATGATTTTTACTGAGTCTCTTGCAAAAATCCTCAATTTTAATAAACTAATTTTCTTCTCATGGATCAATTTAAAAACCTTAAGTATTTCTCTGTGGGCATTCCCATACACTATACTTATGCTTACTACCCATAAATTTTGTGTATTTATGCTTCCGTCGGGTAAAAAGTAAAATTATCTGGACACTGGTACTTAGAGAGAAAATGATGTATTGATTTACTCAAAGAATGTATTGGTTACTTCAGAAAGTTTTCAAATCAGAGATGTCAGATTCGTAAGTTGAGTACCTGCTCATACAGATACGACCCTTGACATCTGCTGAGGCAAATAGCAGTTTCAGTAACTAGGTGAGAAGATGAAATTGATCAACTTATCGAAAACCAAAATTTATCTGTATTCACACTCATGTAGGTACAATTCTGCTGTAGTGGTATCCTCTGCTTATATTCGCTAGCGCTCCATTTTTATCTCTGTACTTACTATCTGCACAACATGAAGACAACTTTTAATATATTGAATTTCATACCTATCTTCAGAACCCTTGGTGTAATACATACACTGTATAGATAAACTGAATACTCACATCTTCATCTTTTTCTTCAATTTCATCTCTAAATTTGATTCGGAATTTATCTGTGACGCGCTTTTCAGAGTTGATCTGTTCTTCTAAGTTTTGACGACCTCCACGCTTCTTGGGTTTCTTTATTTTACCCATGATGATAACACAATAAATTCACTGAGTAGCTCACTAGAATTTAAGAGTCTGAAACTAAACACAAAGGCGGATAAAACAGAGGAAAATTAATTAAAATTAGGAAAACTGGAAAACTTCGGTATTCGCAGCAACTTCACGTGGACGGGAATTTGAGGTTATGTTCAATTGTTGACGCAACAAAAACCGATGACTGATGAGCCTGCGATCGAAAAGTGCTTAACGCAGGAGAGCATCCTAAAAAAAAATCACTGAACTAAACAAAACATTTAATTAGATGACAGAAAAAAATTTCAATCTTCAGTTCGACAGATCTTGCAAGCAGTTGATCAAACCTGAATGTAACATACATTTTCCATAGATTGAATGCTTTTGAGGAATTCGGAATAGTACTAAAAGATTGCTGAGGACACAGGGGAAGTTATTCATAGTTTAATTTTGCAAGCGCAGATTGGCGTGCTTGTCGCTACGAAGAACATGAGAAAATATGAATTCTTGGCGCCAAACGAAAGATGCGCATATTCATCCTTGAAGTACATGCGTGCGTACCTCTATAGACAGCTGTTCTAGCACTGGCATGACAATATCAATAAACGGGAAAAAAAGAAATTCTTTTCTCTTTGAGTGCGAGCTGAACCCATAACCCTTAAAATATTGGCTTTATGTATTCCTGATTTTCCACGATACAGTGTGTTGAGTTAGAATTTCTCATAAACTTACTCCAACAGTGATGCATTAATTTAATATAAATTTTACGGTTTCTGCTCCTGTTCTTCATGTGACAGAAGTTTGGAGGTTTGTGTCTCCATTAAGCATATTATTATCCTTATTATTTGCACAAAGCAGTGCATATATTGAGCTTAAGTTACAGAGAATTTTCTGCGATAGGAGTTTTTCTTTAATGAGTCGCCAATCAATGATTTTGCAATTTACACGGTTTAAAATCAAGCATATAGCGAATAACAGAGCTTTTCAAAAATTGTTTTGATCCAGCTGAGACCTTTGAAAACAACCACTGGCTGTGGCAAAATCATTCTTTCATGAAAAATGAAGTACCGCAATTGAATGAAAAAGAGGCCAAAGTCTTACTAAAAAATCTCAAAAATAATATTTATAGTAATTAAAATCAAACCTTTTCTTCTCGTATGATGCTGGGGAAATTTGAAAACGACGATGAACAACTTCGAGCGTAAATTGAGAAACTTACTACAAAAGAGGAGGAAACTTTGTCTCATTTGAATATGAGCATGTCTCGGCAACTTGGTAACGGTGATGATAAAGTTGAAGAAATAAATTTCAGACTCAGACGAGCACTTGCAGAACGAGTCATGAGAGAACAAGAATTAATGCAAAAAATTGAGCACCTGCAATCAGACCTCTGCTGGCGATCTGATGAGTTTCTAAACTTGAAAATAGATGAGATTTTGAGTACTCACTTTTTAAGGCCGGAGGATATTATGAAACTTTCTCAAGACAGCGTTTTGGCTGCTGTAAAAAATGAGATGAAAACCAAGCAAAGTCCATACGTTTCAGGGAAAGAAAAATCATGCACAAATAATCAAACTTCGGAGAATTTATTTCCGCAATACACCCCCCACTCAATAGTGGAAATAAAAGATGAAAAAAGGAACAACCTGAACGCAACACCAGAGCAGATAAGTGGGCAGAGTCGTTTGTTGAGAGATTTAACAATTGATGAGCCAATGGAAGAGGAAGAAACATATTGCAATCCCAAAACGAACTCAGATTCAACGAATTATGAAAATACATCAAATAAAATAATGACCAACAAAAATTCTTTAGAGGACAATCATTCAAAAGTAAGTTTTGCTAATGATGAAGAAAAGAAAAAAAGCATTTGGGAACTGGTAGAATTCTTTGAGGTGGATAAATCTAAACAACACAACGATGGTTTTGACAGACAGACAAAGAATCGTTACAAATTGGAGACTGATGAAAATGACCAAAAACTATTAAATGAGAATGTTCGTGAGGAAGGTGAAACATTGGATAGTTCGGTCAATTCATCATCTATTATCCATGGGCAAGATACGAAAAGCAGAACATTGCAAGGAAAAGTTGATGTTGATAGAACTAACATATTAACTGAAGCTGATGAACATCGTCAAATTCCACTCAATAAATTGACGAATAACAGTCGAACATTTGAAAAAACATATAAACAGGTGGAAATTTTCACAACTGATTCAGTTGAACTTCATAAGCAGCATTCTGAGACTGTTACATGTGAGAACCATTTGAAAAAGAGCGGAATGTTCAAAGCATTTCCTGCACTGTTGGAGGAGCCTCCTGAGTCTGTGAGGATCGAAATTCCGATCATTGAACCAGTGAGAGGAGCTCAAACTAGTGACAATATTGAGAAAGAGAATGATGTCAATAAAACAGAAAATTCCACGCCACTGAATAATAAGAACTGCTGTGAGGAGCTGACAAGAAAGAAACCGTACAATCATAACATAAAAAATATTCTCAGGTTCAATTTGGAGCAATCAAAGGAGGATGATTTTGAATGTATTTTGTTGGAGGAATTCATTCTCAAACTGAATGGACTGGTAAAAACTGTGGAGGGATGTCTTAAACTACAAAAAAAAATTCAAGTGCATCTGTTACAAACTATTCGAAATTTTGATGTGATCAATATGAGCACTGATAGACCAGAAACAACAAAAAACCGTCCAATTTTAGAAACAAAAAAAAGTCTTCAGAATCCTTTAGGCGATGATTTCAAATCAAATTGTGTCAACTCTACGACCCGCACTCCTCACTTACATAAATCACCTGAAAATGCACAACCTTTGGATGGAGAAAATAATGAAGTTCACACACAACATCACACTGCGGAAAACAAAAACAATGAAAAACACTTGAATGATAAAAGAGACATTAGCAATAAAAGAAATGTTAATGACACGACAGACATAAACAATGAAAGCAATATTGATGCTACAAGAGACGTTAACGATAAAAAAGACGTTGCTGATGACAGGAATGTTACTGAAGGAGGAAATGTTAACAAAACAAGAGACATCAACAATAAAGGAGATGGTGTAGTAGCAGGAATACAGGATTTAAATTCAAAGAACTATCAATATGAGATTTTGAGACAAAAAGTTGACAATTTATGGAAGTATTTAAAAATAATTGAGGCGAATTTAAAGTATCAAGATGCAATATTTTACTATCTTGAAGCTTGTGTTCAAAAAAAGATAGTTCACGCTAGTTTAACTAAAGGATTAGACAATGATTTCCTTCCCGAGGAAGCTCAAAGAGAAACATCCCAAACATCGAAATTAGAGGAGCGATTCAAGCAAAAAAAACAGGATATCTTGCCTGTCATATTGAGCCAGGATAATGAAAGTTTTCTGAGATGGATTCAAAAGGTGAAGACAAATAAAACCTGTTTAGATGGAGATTTTGGCGATGAGGTAGTGGAAAAATTTGGCAGCATATTCCGAAACCTGACGACAACTAGCTTAAGAGACAATGAAAGTAAGTTCAAAAACTTTAACTCCGACTATCCTAAACGAGGTAAAATTCCATCTAAACCTGACGAAGTGTTGGATGACAATAGAAAATACAAAGACACCCAAGAAAAATGTCCAGAGGAGTTGGTCACCAATAAAGATTTTCTGGAGAGTAAGAAGACAATTAGAGCACCTTCAGGCACAATCCTGAAAATGATACATAAAATGGAAAAAGACATTGATGTGCTAGAGACATGGATGGCCAACATTGACATAGAACAGAAAGAGGAGACAATTTTCGGCTTATTGAAGAAAATATTGATAAATAGACAGCGTCTATTGAAATATTTAGCTACCTGCGAGTCAAAGAACGAAAATTGAACATTTATTCCTGACTTTACTGATTAAAAGGTTTGTCGCAATTACCACTCAAGCACTACATGCAAAGTTTAAGAGCGTTTTTTTATATTGATTGAAAGCCCATTTTATGTGCTATGTAATTATATTTTGAGGCAAGATGTGGACTAAAAAGCAAAAATATTATGTAAGATTGGTCTAAGTGCTTTCGAATGCCCAGTCTTCATTATGAAATTGTCTCATACATAACAAAGTCGGTACTCAGCGTTAAAATAAATTTACTTTTCCTGTGACAACTACGAATAATTTGTAGCATAACGGCTCCTTATTATGAAAAACTGGAGCTGCAAGTTAAATGAATTGTCATAATTTAACAGAGTTGAACAAAAAATTGCAGGCTGGGAACATTAGAGCAAAAAGCGGGGAGGGAACAATAGCTTGATTTTCTGATGACTTTTGATATTTTAGTGCGAACTTATTAAACTCATCTACTCCTATTTCCTTAAAGTATGAATAAATTTCATGCCTCACAGTTTCATCATTATTTTACTTCTTTAAACGAAGGGCATGTTTCTTGAACACAGGCAGCGATGAAAGGAATTGTACTTTTTTGCAAACCTAAAAAGATCAAGCAAAATTAAGTAAAAAATGAACTTTTTGATCTCAATTTGCTTTGATAAAAATAACTGAATATATCATGTAAACTGAAATAAAAAAATGGAAATATAAAGCTTCATTTTTTTATTAGAAATTTACACATAGAAAAGAACAGATTTTTTTCTTCTTAAAGAAAAAAAAATTTTTGGCATGTACAGTGATTTAAACTTACAAAATTACTATCAAAGTACATAGAAATAATTGACGCCTTCAATGGATTGTTACAGAGGAACTATTTATGTTGGTTGATGGTGTTTCACCGTCCAATAACTTGAACTCTAAGGCACACCTATTTCTCTCCGGTATTAGCCCAATTTCATTGCAAAGCAAAGCCTGAAAACAAAATAACATCAAGGAGAAATCAGTGGTTAGTCATTACTTAACTCCATTTTTCCAAATGAAGCTTAATTACAGCGATTTTTTTTTTTTTAATGGTACTAACTGAAGAAACAAAAAACCACATACTGCACTTAACTAAAAAAGGGGTCTAATAATAGATGTTACCAGTATATCAAATGCTGACATGCATAAAGATTTTTAGATTCTTTAAAAAACTATTAAAAGTAGGTTAGGATTCCAAACGTAATGACTTTCTAATGATTCAAATGAAAATAAAAGTCGTACTGGCACTAAGAAAATGAAAAAGGCTTGAAAATAAGGATAAAAGTCTTCAAGAATAACAGTTAGCTCCTGTAAGGCTGGAGAAGTGTAGAAAAGGCCCACCGTAGCTAGGGTGTGCGATATAATGTGGATATTTTACATAGGGTTACCCCCTTAAAAGGAGGAAAAAGCTAATCTTTCAGCACTATCTGGCATCAGTGATAAGGCCTTTTAGCCTGCCTGCTCACTTCTGATGCAGCTGTATCTTGAAACTCACCTGTAAATGAACAGTTTCTTTCAATTTGAACACAGCATTAACAGCTTTGAAGCTAGCTTTGACCCTGTTGAGCAGTTCAATGACTTCAGCGATGATTTTGTGCCGACTCTGTTGGTTGTTAAGATGAGCGACAACTGCTACTCGAGACTTAGCGGACAGAAGCAATGCATTACCGATTTCATACTCGCTTCCATGAGATAGAATTGTGAGAAGTGAATGATCGACTAGCTTATAGGTTTGAGCAGGGAGATTCATTCGCAGCTGAAAAAGGAAAGAAAATTTAGCTGGATTGAAAAAAGGTTGATTTATCAACTGGCAATCAATGGGCAAAAAACACATTTCCTTTGGACTGTTGTTGGATGAAATTTAGTTCATTATACACCAGAATTTCTCATTGACTCCCCAAAAACTTTGAAAGAAGCAATTTGACAACTTTAGGAAAATCAGAAATTTTCTGAAGGGAAATTGAAAAGTGAACTGAGCTTTTCGAAAAAACCAAATAGTTGACGGCAGATGTTGTAATTGTNTATCTTGAAACTCACCTGTAAATGAACAGTTTCTTTCAATTTGAACACAGCATTAACAGCTTTGAAGCTAGCTTTGACCCTGTTGAGCAGTTCAATGACTTCAGCGATGATTTTGTGCCGACTCTGTTGGTTGTTAAGATGAGCGACAACTGCTACTCGAGACTTAGCGGACAGAAGCAATGCATTACCGATTTCATACTCGCTTCCATGAGATAGAATTGTGAGAAGTGAATGATCGACTAGCTTATAGGTTTGAGCAGGGAGATTCATTCGCAGCTGAAAAGGGAAAGAAAATTTAGCTGGATTGAAAAAAGGTTGATTTATCAACTGGCAATCAATGGGCAAAAAACACATTTCCTTTGGACTGTTGTTGGATGAAATTTAGTTCATTATAAACCAGAATTTCTCATTGACTCCCCAAAAACTTTGAAAGAAGCAATTTGACAACTTTAGGAAAATCAGAAATTTTCTGAAGGGAAACTGAAAATTGAACTGAGCTTATCGAAAAAACCAAATAGTTGATGGCAGATATTGTAATTGTAATAATATTGTATTGTAATAATATGTCACTCTGATAACGGGAAAGGGGGTGTTAAGATCTGGATTACATGATACCACCAATTTTTCGACAATCTAAAACGAAAGGGAGATGTAAGATGGTAATTTTTAGACCTTAATTCATCCCAAATGCTCATTTGAAAGGGACGGAAAGGTCAGATCAAGCTGAGCGTTACGTTTGGGGGGGGAGGGGGTGCATGGTGTAGACCTGTGTTACAGGTGCATTGCAACAGGGGTGTAAAAAAATCCGATTTCTAGTATTTTCTGTCTTTTATCAAAACTCCCTAGGTAGATAGACTTATTTTCTTAAAATTGAAATATGTTTGGTTAAATTTGAGATATCAATGGATTCAACATAATGAGTCTCGTCATTCAGAAAGGCTGATGTTTTTCATGTGTGTAATAACAACTCACAGTAGCAGCTTTGCCTGGTACAGATGAAAAGTAAATGAATGCAGAATTTGCTGGAGAACCTTCAGGTAACATTATTTAATTCAAAGACTTACCTGAATAGAGGCGAGTTCCATTGAAACTTGAGCGCTAAGTAGGTCCAAATAATGATAGTTCGCCATTGAGAGTGCAATAGTGAGAATTGGAATTCGTGCTACTTGTATTGCTCTGGCTGCTAAAATAAGAGCTCTTACCCGTAGAGCTGGACATGATACTTCAGTGGAATCTAACACTTGATGAGCCGCCTTCTGTGCTCCGACAAAATCAGACTTTGCAATCAATAACTCTGCTAGTCTGAAAAATTTTATTGAGAATAGAATACAGTTCAGAAATATAACTTTTGAATCACTATATAAATGTCGCAGACAATCAGCAATCGCCGGCAATTTGTAAGCTCCGTACTTGTCGATTTGTCAAATTACAATTACAATGGCACCGATAGAGTATAGGTTTCTTTGGCGAAGACGTTCAAGGCACCACCCCAGCTTGGAACGCCTTCAAATCCAGCGATACTCTCTGCACTACTTGAAAGTTAGTTTAGTTGCTTAACCAAACCAAACCCAATGCAGATTATTGAATACATTTCACGAACTCGCGAATGTGCTAGCTGGTACCATGCATTCAAGAAGAAGGGGATAACGTATGTTTAAATTCAAAGCATAATAATCACTACTTCCTATCTCATGTTTACTTTTGTCACTTTAAATTTTTTTAATTTGTTGATTCAACACGAATAGATTGCAATTTGCCGGCGATTGCTAATTGCCTGCGACACATATAAAAAACTATTCTTGACTGAGGATTGAATGTCCCAGGAAAGTCAAGTGCCAGGAACAAGAATTACAAAATTGGAATAGGGAAAGGCTGGTTAATGTGAAAACCCGATTCCATGGCTTGAGACGATTCTTAGCAACTCGAGTTTACCTGTCACAAAAAGCCATTTGCACAGGCTTTAGCGATGGAATTTTGGGATTAAATGCACTAGATCTATTCATGAATAAACTACATACCTTAGGGCTCTTTCCCACATTTTCTCCCAAAATTCTCTACAATTCGTGCTGAGATGGAGGATATAAAACTTAGCATTTAAGCCATTCAGGCAGCCATACGTACATACATAAAATTCGCTCCTACAATGCACTCTGACACTCTGCGACACCCCAACGCCGCATGTACCTGTCTCCTCAAAGGATATAAGGCAACTGACATCGCAACATCTCTTAGTCAACGCCCTGCCGCAAAACCTTAAATTATTTCTTACTGCAGAAAGCCAAAATGATTCCTATTTCCAGAGTTTCCAACTAAAATCTGCCATCAATATGGGTTCTGTCTGGTTCCCTGTTGAAGCAAAGTCTCTGTCTTGAAATTCCCTAATATTTTTGCTCCTGGGAAACCTGAGATTTTTCAGTTTTAGAAATTGGAAAGTGAACGATTCTAAGCCACTTTTAACTTAAATGAATTTAAGTTATACTAAGTTACACTGGTCAGGGGCGGACTGGAAGTCGAAAAGTTAGGAGGCGACCTAGACTTGGGGGCCCCTCCTGTCGTTCGGGGGCCCCTCTAAGGAGATCCGGGGGCCCTCCCCCGGAAAATGTGGAAAATTTCACACTTTTTAAACGCAATTTTATGCATTATTGGAGTCAAATTGTACAGTATTTGAACTTCAAAATAACCCATTCTCAGGATTCTTTCGGGGCCCCTTCATCACAGAAGCTTTAGACGACCTTCCATGTCACTTAGAGACAAATTTTCAAGGATTTTGGGGCCTTTTAGTGACTGAATAGGATAAAAAAATTACAATATTACAGGGGAAAAACCATAACTCGAAAAAAATTCGCCGCGGGGGCCCCTTCGGGACCTCCGTGGCAAATTGTTAAGAGGCGATCGCCTCCCCGCCCCCATGGCCAGTCCGCCCCTGACACTGGTAACTTACACGTTTTTTTTCCAAAGCACATCGCAGATGTGACTGTCCACAGAAAAAAGAAATCTTGGTGGTAACAATCTCAAAACTGAGTGAACAGGACCACAGGTTTGAGGAAAATTTTAAGAAAATTTTAGCTCGCTCACAAATCTAATACAAATTTGCTGACCTGACCTAAGAAAAATTCTTCTGGTGAAAAGTTTAATTCCAAAAACTAAGATCTCTTTATGAGGGTGCAGCCACAAATTGAGAATCAAGAAAATTATGTAAGATTTAATTTCATCATAAATTACGATAAATTTCAAATTTGATTGAAGTAAAATCTCAAAGTATTAATTTTAAAGAGAAGAATATGTTCAGTCAAAAAAATACATACATACCTGAGATGGCTTTCATACTTATTTACAGACAAAAGCCTGTTTACAGCAGCCTCAGCATCTTGCCAGCGACCTTCATACAATGCATGCGTGAATAGCAGAATTTGTTCAGACTCTATCCACCATTGTTTATTTGAAAACTGATCTTTAACATACTCCAAAACTAATTTAGCTAATTTGTACTCGCCCTGGAATACATGGAAGAGAAATGAAATCACATCACTGGTAAATAAAAATGAAGGGGTGCCTATAAATTAACTCTAAAGAGAAAGAAAAATTAACACTTACGCAAAATAAGTTTATGCACTTCTATACAGCAAAAGGAGATCATCTGACGTCACTTTGACATGTAAAATAAAGGAAGAAATCAAAATAGTGGATCTCCTGTCGCAGTCTAAAAGTGCGTAAATTTATTTGGCAAGGATTCTAGTTATTTTTGTCTTCACTTTGAAAAGCTCAGACTTCAACATTTGAGCATTTGACTCTTGAACAAAAATCTACCTTCCATGGATCTGACTTTTTTAAAAGATTCTAAATGAAACTCGGAACTGTTATACAATAAAGCAAAAGTGATACATGTAAAAAAAGAAAAAGAAAAACCCTGAATTTGCTTAATAGCATGGCAAAAATAAGAAAGAACCTTCAAAAGGTATAAACAGTGCTGTGAATAAGAAAATGAATTTTTTTCAGAGTACTTAAAAATTTCAAATATTTGTCTACATACGTCCAGCAACTACTTGATACATATTTATTCTCAATTAAATAATGAGGAAGATCATCAATTGTAACTTCAACGGCTGGAATACTCACTTGGATTGTAAATCTGTTCACAATATTACATACTGCTAAACAGGTCCCTTCTCCATTATACGTAGACATTCCTTGCACTGGATCTGTCGTATCAAGGTGAAGTAAGATTTGACTACAAAGAGAGGCCATTTCAGTTTTGCCATATAAATTCCACAAGGCTGATTTGTGTGTGAAACTACAAACAATCAGGTCAATCATAGAGAACTGACAATTGAGAATATCGCTCCTCATTAAGACCTAAAAAGTTAGAAAATAACTGTCATAACAACCTGTAGATTTAAAGTGCTAGAAGTCAACATTTTAGTTTTTACTGACAGGAAAAATTTTGGATGGGGCGTTCAAAGAGGTATAAGATTCCAAAGTTTGAAGAAAACTGAGAACCAAAAATCAACACTTCCAGGGATATTTTTGTTGTTCTTCAAAAATAATTATTATTGTGTAGCTTTATGTAAGCATATACTATGTGCACAAAGGAGGTTTTCTACTGAAATTTTTCTGAAAAATAAATTTTAGAGAGGCGTTCAGAAGACCAAGGAAGTTTTTACTTTGGTTTTTCAGACTTTCAATGAGTTAAACAATGATGAAATTCTGAAAAAATAAACAAATAAACTTTAATTTGTAATTTTGAATACTATGAGAACAAACAAACAAAAACCTAAGGAGCAAAGTATAGCGCAGGAAAAATGAGAGAACTTAGAAAGTTTGAGACGATGTCTGTTGAACAAAATTTTTTCGGACCATCCCTTCAATAGAAATCTCTGTCTTTGTTACGTCTGAAGCCAATTGCCAGCTGCTAATTTCTTTCAACCATGCATCTACTCCGTGATTTTGCATCAAAATATCATATTCTACGATTCATATTCAGTTATTCTTATCCTAACTGTGTATTGGATTCCTTTCTCATTTATAGAAGTTTCAGCGCTTTTAAGAAATGAAATAGAAAATTAGAGAGAAGATAGAATTACGTACCTCAAGAACTAGAGCTGGCTTCCCTCCTGTCATTGCAGCAAAACGTGCATAAGCTTGCAAACCTAAAGACGTCAAGTAATTAAGGCCGAGATCAGAACTCTTTGAGATAGATCGCTCGATGAGAACCTCCTGAAAAAGTACAGATTTTTAGACAAGAATTTAAAAATTTGTTTGCATACAGACATATTCCAATGATTTCTAAAATTTACCTAGATGTCAAGAAGATGCTCTGAAAAATATCTAAGCATGATTATAAATGCAGTTTTGTCTCTTGGACAAAAATTCAATGTAATTTTGATTACCAATATATCATTGATTTTCCTAAAAAATCGCAAAAATTCAATATAAGCGATTGATATTTCGACTCATAAACGTTAAAAATCGATTCTACAAGAAAAAATACGTAGGTGTTGGTGTACTACAGTCATATTAGGTGCATTTAGTCATCCATGAATCAAAAATGAACAATTTCAATCTCAAAAAATCGTCGATTTTCCGTAAAGTATCTTAAAAATTCGATATAACCGATCAATTTATCGACTCGTCAACATTAAAACTCGATTTTGCGTGTAAAAAGAAGTAGGAACCGCTGTGTATAACATGTGTAAACAACGATAACAACCCCGTAGATACATCAATTCAACGAGAAAATAGCGAAAAATAAGGCCGGAGTTTGACCCCTTTGCCCCCCCGTAACTCGAAAACGGCTCCTATACTCATCTTGAAATTTTTTCCTGAGTTTTCTGTTATTTTAAGCTTCCACTTGAACCTTGGTTTGATGGTCGAATCGGATACCGAAAAAGGGGCGAAATTTTGGGAGGCTCTTTTAATGAATTGAATCAACTCAGTCCTTGTCAAGATCAGTCTATAAGTTACTTACTTTGTTCTCATCAGTGAGTTTGTAGAGCCACGCTTGAGCATGTTGAAGGCACACATTGTCATTGGCCTCGTGTGACAACTTGATCGCTTCTTTGAGCGCACAAAGAGCTTCATTCCTGTTAGAAAAACACAGGAAAAAGTTTTAATAAAAACACAAATTTAAAACTCTCCATCTACTTTTCTGTATTAGTTTTGAGTGCCTTTCCAAATTCACTGATGTAAAAATAAGTTATTCCTGGAATATTTTGAGTGCAAAAATAGAAAAAAGAAAAAGACGAGAAAGATAGCAGGTTTGCACAAATTGGAGGCTTTAATTTTCAGATTAGAATTTGGAAGTTGAATTTTACTGTATTTTACACTCATGAGTTCAACTTATTTGTAAGAAAAAATAAGAAAGAAAACATTAAAACTTCCTTTTTGACAGTGAAACTCCCACACCACATAACTGCGACATTGCAGACTTCCTGTCAAACTCTATTTTCTAAATGGAGAACTCCTCAACGTTTCTTCTTAAAAACTTCCATGATTTTTCTTCTCTCTGCGAATTACATAGAAAAAATTGAAGGAATGATGTGTTTTTCTCCTCCGTTGAAGCAAATATAATAGAACCGAAAATTTTAAACACCGCAAACAAGATACGAAGTTAGAGAGTTTCACCATCCTATTGTATTTTGTAATTAATAAGCATTGTTTAGTACTTGCCAATGAGTTGTGCCCCCATTTAGAATCTGCTACTGTTTTTAAAGAAACATCTCTTTTTGAAATATTGATGACTGAGATGGCTTTTATTCGTATCTTTGCACATCGCAACTATGAAACATCCTTGAGCAGTTTCAACTGCTCAGTTTTGAAAATGTAGACTATAAAAATTGAACAACTGTCTTGAATCTACTAATAATTATGAGCTGGTGTACGCACTTTTTTGTATTTTCTCTGGATACATTCTAGTGTTGAAAGCATCAGCGTTTGAGCGGAAAAAGAGAAACCTAAGGGACAGTCTTTCGGACAGGTAAGGAGAAAAAACTGGACTTACTTCCTATTAAATTGAGCATGCAGTATGGCTAAATTCAAAGCAGCATAGCGAATTCCTTTGCTTTTTTCATCTTCTTGCTGCATACTTGCACTTCTATCAAAATAATGGAACAGACTATCAAGAGCACCAGTTAATTCCTTCACTCGCAAACAATTAAGGTAGCTTAAATAGTGCTGGAATAACAAAAAGAGATAAAAAAGTAATTAATGCTATTTTCTACGAACCATTATGCTGTTAGAGAAGCATCTCAGTTTTGCGGCAATGCATTAGGCCTTGTCCATTGTCCACACACGCGTGGTTCACGGATCTTCCGGCAAAAATGTTCCTAGAACCTATTATAACTCAGCTATAACTTATGCCACAAAACTCCAGTTCAAGGAACTAATTTGCACAAAAGGTCCAAGAACCACCCCTGTGTGGGCAAGGCCTTGAGTGCAACGAATATGTTTTAAATCTTAGCCGTTGCAGAGATTCTTTCGAAGAACTCAAAATTTTGTCTCTGAAAATCATAAGTACTGTATACATTCAAATCTTAAAATAAGACTGATCAAAATCGATTCATCAAAATTGATTGGAAAACTAGAGAGACTAACACTTTAATACTTCCAAATTTGCTATAGAAGTGGCTAAACTTTTAAGTGCATTTTATGCCTAGCATGCACTGCGGAAACTCGGAGGCTTTCCCTTGAGTTTAATAATTTTAAAGGATTTCAAGGCTGATTGAAAATTAGTGACCTGGCCAAACTAGCCCTTCACTTGAATCCACTCCAGACTATTGATAGATTGAATCTTAACAGGCTTCTGAGTAAAAATTTCGACTTACAGCTTCAGCGTGCTCTGAGTTGGCTTTTAAAATTTCACGAATTTTTTGTTGCAGCTCAGATGGAGGTAGTGCTTTTAATTCATTGTTCTGGAGCAGCGCAGTCTGTTGAGCAATGAAGAACTCTGCCTGTCGTCTGGACCACAGTTTTGTTACATCTGGGGGAATAGGAAAACTGCAACAAATTTTTCTTTGTTAATTGAAAGCTCCCACATTTTGTTGAAACAAAAGTACACTATGACAGCCCGAGAACATGGAATAAAAATAGACAAGTGTCTATTCTATAGGCCTCGATACTTGATCAAATTCTGAACCAATTCTGAACCAATTCTGATCAAAGTAGACCAGTTGATGACTGATGGTCATCATGCAATAGTCCTCTTTGATCAAAAGTGGACGGGCTGTCAAATTTTGATCAGAATGGGGTGCCACCACTCATCATTTCCTGCAACTTGAAACATTTCTGCCAAGTTTTTATTTTAAAATGAAGCAAGGTAATGATTTTAAGACTGATGACCTCCAACTCTTTGATGGTAATTGGTTCGGGAATGATCGTGTATCGAGACCTTGAAGGTCAGGAATCCTGTCTATTTTTGTTGAAACATATGTTTAATTACACAATGTTCACACAACGTCATTTGTATAATCTAACTTCTCTATGATCTGTGTTAGAAATAATTTTTCACATCTCTTACAGCAGTTAGATTTTTAAACCTCTCTTAATATGAATCATTTCCTTTGTAAGATGTAAACGAAAACATATATCCAAGGTGAAACTGCCAGACCACATATCTTGTTTGCAGTGCCTAAAAATTTCCGCTCACTTTTTGTTTTTTTGAAGGAGACCAGAGCAATATCATTCCTTGAAATTTTCGCAGAGTTTTCTCTGCACAAAGAGAAAAAATCTCGGAAGTTTTCGAGAACTGACGTTGAGTAGTTTTCCATTCATAAAAAAAGGTATGACAGGAAGTCTGCAACATCCCAAACCAAGATATATGGTCTAGTTGTCTCACCGTCGATATGATGTTCTTTTCTAGTTCAGATCTTGCCTAGCAAGCCAATCGCAATCCTTGGAAATGAATCTCAAAATTCCCGATTCCAAGATATTTTAAGTTCCCATGAATCAAATGCTTTCGAAGATTTAGAGATAAAAAGAAAATCAAGGACTTTTTTAGGATGTCAAACTGTGACTGTTATAAAAATAGGAGAAGAAAAAATCAAGACACACTTTTTGCCATTGGCTGCATTGATTGTCTTCTGCAGTTTACTTGTGATTGGAGAAGTTTCAATCTTCTTAGGAACTATGCTGATAGGAGTTGCAAGGCTAGCTTCGGACATATCGGCAAGTTTGGATTGTGTTTTGTCGAAAGCACAGCTTGGAGTTGCATTCATTGAGTCAGTCATTTCCGTGGACATATCAATGCTTATATCTGAAGTGGTCTGCTTCAGCAATCTGGTTTCCTCGGTCAATCTCTCCGTTGTCCTACTCTTAATTTCAGTAACTTCATCTTTGACACTTTTAAGACTAGGCGAAGCTTCTTTTATTGTTTTGATGTTGGCACAGTGAATTTTATAGGACTGATAGATTCGGAGCGTTTGAGAGAAAGTCAACTTGTCGAAACACAGCAGCACTCTTCTGAGAAATACACCTGAAAAAACAATGGAAATGATTATTTAGTTACGATAGTTACAAAGTAAGTGGAGGAAAATTAAGGAGAAGAGGGCTGAATGATCTGTTCACCAAAAAAGTATTTATGGAGGTAGGTGCAAAATAGGACTAATGTCCTTAGCAGTTTTTTCAAAGTGAGCAAACTATATAGTGTGACCTTCCATAGGATAAGGAGCCATCCCTGCAGCCTGGCTGCTAGTAAGAACGACCAGCTAAAAGCACTTTCAAAAACCTCTCGAAAAATTATATTAAATTATTTCCCTTTTTGGTTATTTTTCAAGTAAAATTTACATTAAAAAGTTACTAAAATGAAAATTATCACTTTATTAAGAGTTTTTTGACTTTTTTTTTAATATTTCAAGTGTTAAAAAACTATAGCCGATCTTTTGAGAGTTCCTTGACACTTTTTTACTTCAATTTCACCACTCATAAAGAGTATTTGAAAAGAACCCAAAAAAGGTTTGCATAGGAACATTTAGCCTTCTTCTAAGGCTTTGTCTCATTGAAACTTACAAGTTTTTGAAAGTTTTGGTAACAGTCATTGCTACAAGGGTTAGTCCACGAAGCAATTTTTTAGGAAAGCTATTTTGAGTTTCCACAGGAAAACGCTCTCTAGTATCCTGAAGAATGAGATTTTAAAGGTCTAAGTAAATCACTTCCATGATAATTAAGGGCGAGAAGTTGGATAAAAATTTGATATCTTTGAACCCGAACATGGCGAAGTTAGCTATTTCCCCCAAAAATGTTTCTTGAACTACTCGCTTCAGATAGTCAAAATTCCAGTTCCGATTGAAAATTTGGCATTTTTTCTTTCTTTTTATTGCAAAATGTTAGTAAACTGTCTCAGCACTTGCATCCCTTTTTTTCATAGATGATTTGGAAAGACAATGAACCCAAGACATTGACATTTCTAGAAGAAAGCACTTACCCACAGGACTGCTTTTGTTCACTAGCGGTCCGACAGTATCATGGTCCAGCATCAGGCCTCCCATACTATTAATGACTTCGATAAGATGACCGACATCCTCATCCAAGATTATGGAAACCTGATCGATAAAACTTTTGACTAGTTCTGGCTCTGGTTTAAACTTCCCATTCTGTATTTCATTGACCAATTCTTCAAAGCTCATGTCGGGACACTGAAAAATGGTATTCAAAACTCAGTTGCAAGTCAAATAAGAAAAAGAAAGAGCTTTTGGAAAACTTGATCTTTAACCGGAAAAATTGCATGAAGTAGAGCTCCTTTGAATAGGCAAATAGCTGAGAAACTTAGAGGTATTAAGGAGCAAGCATGGCTAAACGTAAGTATCTCTCTTTTTACTGTTTACTGCACAAAACGTAACTGAAATTACAGAAAACTAATATATACCTGAATGAGGCGAAGGATCAACATACAAAAATCTCTCCTTTGATGGATGCTTAAGGAGCCATCACCTGTAAAAAAAAAAAAGGTTCAAATTATTACTATTCAATAACATCCTTTTGAAAGACATGGATTTCCGGCTGAAAAATTAATCATGTGCAGGATACATAGAGGCTTTTCATGCACTTGGCAATTTTAGAAATTCAGGCTCATTAAAGCATTGTGCCATTCAACTTATAAAATATTTTATTCCTTCAAAATTAGTACATTAAATCTAAGTAATGAGACCATCTTTTTAAAATAATTACACACTTCTAAGTATGTGATGCAATTGCCAAGACTTTAAAAGGGTAGGTAATACAGGCTTGAAGTCATCCTCCTAATTCGGACTTGTATGAATTTTAAATTTCTTCAAACTGTCAAGATTTTGCAAGTACATTGGGAATTAATGTTCGCTCATGGAAAAATGAGGGAAATTTTCAGGTCATGGACAATCTCATTGAACAATTACTTTCTGAAAACTGAAAAAGGTTACTGTATACTTACTCCTGTTGTTCACACAATAATCTTGAATTAGTAATGCAACTGAGAGTTTATGAGGAGTCAAATACTCGAATGCGGATTCATTTTTCAGCACAGATGCTGATTCGTATTCCTTCCCAGACATACTGCTTCAAATCTTAATTATGGACTTCAAGTACCTGGAAGAACAAAACCCCTTTAAGCAAAGAAATTTCGGTGAACAATGAACCTCATCAATGAAAAATTAAATAGCAGGTCTGGTCATATACAGCTCATCAACTTAGGTACCATCAAAGTTTAGAGCCAAAAATCGCCAACTGGAGAGATATGATGATACATTTGCTTGGAATAATTAAAAGATCTATAAAGTCCCTCAGCAGGTTACTGATGGCAACCAGGAGCCAAGTCTTAAGGGTCGCATGTAAGAGCTGAGAAACTGTTAAGACCAGTGTCTGCCACCAGTGTACCAGTATTATTCCGCTGGTGCGCCGTTAACAAAATCTACGCGCTCCACCTCTTGCCATGCTGTTTCATTATGTCACATCACTATGAAGTAAGGAGGCGTTTTCCCCACAAGTTAATGGTCCATCCCAGTGAAGGGAAGGCAGTGGCGTGCGGTGGGTTTAGTGACAGGGCAAGCCCTAGCATTTGCCATACCGGGGGGGTTAACGTAGCCTTTTTCCCCTCCTCCTCCCCCTAGCCTTCCTAGGAAATTCTCAAATTTCGATTTGAGAATCGAATTTGATTTCGAAGATTTCGTTTATTTAACTTGTTTCAAATGTTATTGAGCATTGGAGGACGGCTCCATGCTTTTAATTCCTAATTTTGCCACTTATTTGAGATATTATAGTCTTTATTCTACAGCATTTAGAATTTTTTGAGTTACTTAAATTTCCCCAAAAAAAGAGCTGACTGCATTTATAACATGATGAGAATTATCTAATTCATCACCGATTAGATCTAAGTGAGCGACATTTTATGGAATTTAAGGGCATTTGCTTCGGAGGAGCAATTACAACCGCGACAGAAAGAGGGAACAAGATAGCGCATCGGAGGCAGAAGCAGCGCGCTGCGGTGACGGGCCAAGAGAAGCGAGCTGCAATCGCGCAGCGAAGGGCTCCGACTCAGAACGTACCGCTCTCCCCGCCTGCCTTGATTCTGCTGTCGAGCAGCGGCTCTCCGCTCAGCTGATCGCGAGCGATTCTCCAGCGCATGGGTTGGCCCATGTTCAGGCCGTGCAGCGCGCTGCGCCACCTCCATCCGCTCTGCCGCTTTCCTACTTTAGTGGCTCTTTATGTATGTCTGTTTCTCTCTCTTTCTGTTTTTAATGCAATTTACTCACTGAACACTTTTTATAAATTATATTTGCTAAAATGTAAAACAGGTAATAGGTGTAAGTTTCTTCTTTCTTTTGAAATCTTTGGGCAAGCAGTGCTTGCCTTGCTTATCCGGACCGCACGCCACTGAGGGAAGGTCTGCACGGCACAGATATATCCGCACGCTTGAGAATGCTGACTTCGACTAAGATATGTCTAACACTACAGGGCAATTACATTTTGCCACCAATCTGAAACTATTGGAAAAAAAGAAATGATGGTCTCACCTCTTAGAGAGTTCTTCATTAGAACTTATACCGCAGAGCTCCTAAAATATGTTCCTTCGTCATACCGAACAAACTGACTGAAAGACACCCTGGCGCAGCATTGGAAATATGTTCATCAAAGTTTACTGATTAATTAATTAAAATCATAAAAAACAATGAAGTTTGCGAGGAATGTACCAACTTAAAGAAACTTGCAAATTAACAAGAAAAGCGGTGAAGGAGAACGAAAAATAGTTTGTTTAGGTAAACATAACCTCAAAACAATCGAAACATCCCGCCATCGTTTTGTTTATATTCTCCTCCAAGAGAGAGCGTTGCAAACGCTTAATAAACGCCTTCAGAAAACATGTCTGTAGCGATAATTGCCGCGTACCATATTGAAGGCAAATTAAAAACCGAGGTAACTCGTTTCATGTATTTCTTCCCTTCAGACTTAAATTGACAATATCATCTTGAGTATTCTTGAGCCAATAATGACATTTCTGTCAAGAGAATGTTATGAAGGCATGATTAATTGTCTTTAGTCAGAGTTACAGAACTTTTTTTTGCATAGCACCGTACCAGGGCACAGGCACACACAGTCTGAAATTCCAATGGAAAGGATTAGGAGGGTGGGTAAAAGGGGAAGGGGAGAAGACTGAGCGAGCGATTACCGAAAGCTCACTTTAATGGAAGAATAAAATAAAGGGCAAAAATGCAACTTTAATGCTAAACTGTAAATCAATACTTAAATAAAAAGAAGGTTTTTGGTGATTCTAGAATGTTGGCAGAGTTAAAAGGAGCAAAAAATCATAGAGTATTTTCACATCATTCAGAGCGGAAAAAGGGACCTAAATATCATAGAGAGCCAGCAAATAAGATTGAAATTGATTGTCTGAATTTAGTATGCCGGATTGGTACCTTATACTAAATAGACATGTACCTAGGATCCAAATTATGGATTTTTAATGCTATGGGTGATCTTTTTGCCCAAATTAATTTGTACCTACCCAACATTCCAACTCTTCCATTCCCGCACATTTTTGTGTGAAATGTACCGGCAGAAATCTACAAAAAGAGAGTTCATTCACCTGTCATGCAGGATATCCAGGATTGTTAGGAATTTCTATTCCAGGTTTGCTCCCTATTTGTTTGCACGTAATGACATGGTAACATTATTGGAAATTTTACTAATTTTATACACATTTTGGCAGCGTTGCCTGAGAAAATTAATCTAGTAGCGGTCAAGAGTGTGTGTAATTTTTTGTAATCAGCCTTATCTTTAATTGTCTGGAGGGAGCTCAGATTGACTCACGTTTCTTATTTCACAGATAAAGGGTTAAGGCATCTCGGGAGGGTGGTCAAATATCCTTGTTATCCTACTCTCTCCTGCTGTCTCCACCATTCTCCAACAAAGAATTCAGTCTCCATCCTAGTAAGAATGATACATTTAGACATGTGGTCTGGGACAGTTATGTGGTCTGATATGTCGAGAAGAGGACAGAATACTGGATGTCAGGTCCAATGTGGTGAGTGGTTCCTCAGTTTCTATTCAAAATGCAGCTGAGCCATCTACAACAAATTTCAGAGACAATCAACTGTGTAAGTTCAAAGTTCCTGTTCCTTATTACACCTTCTAAACGTTCATTTTTTAGTCTGAAACTTTCGGAACTCTTTGAAACTTTTCAGAGATACCTACTATTTCTGGGGTCTACAAATTGTTATAATCCATCAGGAGTTGTACTGTACACAAAAATACATAATTGTTTTCTCTATAGCCACGAGTGTCTAAAATAAGGGCTCAAAATTTAAAAACTCCCTTAGAGAGGAATCCAGAAATTTGTTTTCTTTTTTGAAACTCAATGAAAATAGAATTTTTGCTTGAAAATAAGAAATTTGCTTCGTTTGCTCTTGTTATGATTTTTTCGGACAGTAAAAATAAATTTGAGAAGGGAAGGAGACTAAAGTCTTGATTTTGGGATAGCATTTCGGCTTCGCATAGATACCCTCTTGAAAGAGCCTCCAGAAGCACAAAACAAACCTCAGTTTTCACAAATTTTCTGTAGGTCTGCCTTCTTTATTCTCTTTAAAGTCTGTTTTCAAAAATTTACTTTATTACAAAATGTCATGTGGGAAAGTAATTGTAGAATACCTACAGTTGTATATTGTTAACAAATTTCTTGAAATAACATTTTTCTAGAAACAGCGCTTATTTTTTCAAAAGTCAGCCAGTTGTTACTCGTTTTTGCATTTCTCGATACAGTGTTTCTCCGGGAACAATGTTCGACTTTTAGTTCTCCTTTGAAAACGTCATAACAATGGTCGACTGTATAAACTTGGAAATCTTCTAATGAAATACAGGTGTTTGAATTAATTACAGAAAGTCTTGTAGTAAAATAAAGTTTATTTCTCTAGGTCGTCAATGAGCTCAATAACTACGAAGACATAACATATCATTCAAACTTGTGCCACAAATGGCATGCAAGTTTGTAAAATTCATGCTTTAATAAAAGAGACAAAAATACAATGATTAGCTATTAATGCAAATTGACACACAATGATTATCACAAACTATCCTATTTTGGTATTTATTAAAATCCTAACAGATTGTTTGTACTAAAATGTTTAGATTACTTGTTCGGGTTGATTTTACTAGTCATGCGCGAGTAATCAACTAGAAATAGGTTGGGACGATTTGCTGTTTCTATCATGGTAAACTTTTTCCACGGCTTTCCTTGATTTCCAAGCCTTATTGACACTTCAGAATTTACTTACTTTAAATAATTGGGCAAGTCACCGACTGAAAAACCCTAAGGAATAATATAAAGGGCTTCCTTCCAAAAACATGTAGATCCTCTCACTAAGAGCATAAGTAAATCCTGATATGTCAACTTGTGTGGATGGTACATGATTACTGAATAAGGTTTCCAAAAAAAGTTATTTGACAATAGGTATTGCTAAAAAATTATGGAAGCATCACATCCGGTCAATTTAAAGTTAAATACATAATGATTAGAAAAAAATAACTCTTGTACAATAGCTTTTTTATTACAGAAAGTGCCTAAGTCAAAGTTTGACCTTTGAATTAGCTTTCAGTCCGGCCTACTTCTCCTTTGAAAGATTTATTAATGGTGAGGTGATTTTGGAGGGGCTTAAAGCAAGGTGTGCATGTGTTAGAAAAGTGAATAATAATTCTGAAAACCAATTTGATTAAACACACATGGAATAGAGGAGATGACAAGACACATGTGCATGACGTTTATCAGTAAAATATCTGAGGAAGATTATGCCTTCCAGGCAATGATTTTAAGCCCTTCCTTCAACTGACGGTTTACTAGAATTGAAAGACAGCTTGATAGTAATTTAATAACTTAGGGGTCTATTTTGATTTTAACTGATGATCATGCGGAGTTTCTTAGATTGTTTGCAAGTGTATGGGCTCCTATGAATTGCAAATCCAGCGGGTATCTCAGTTCCACCAATAAATAAGGAAATCATGATAGGTGAAATTTTCCCCGGTTAAAGTTTGATTTGATTGCTACAGTCAGTCTTCTTGCGATTGTTGTGGATTTAAAAGGGGCGATAACTTTCCTTCAAGGTTTTGACCCAAAACAACCTTAAAACACCTAAGTAAATGCAATTTTGAAGATATTATTGTACAGGAGCAAATGAGTAAATAATGGTTAAATTGATTATTCATGACAAAACATGCAGTACTAAATATAAAAATAAATAGGCAAGAAATAACAAATTCCTAATACAGATCCTAGCATACAAAATTGATGAATAAACAACGTTCATACTACATTCATCAGATAATAACCAAGAATGAATGAACGTTTTTCACAAGAATCTTAACATACGTACATTCCCTTTTGATGTGGACGGAGGAGTTAGTGATCTCACAACCAGCTTAACATTGATAAAATGCACAAATTTGCTAAAATGGGATTTAGCCATTGATTTTTAAAAAGTGAGGATTCATCATGTCTAAAAGTTCATTTCCACTATGCTTTCAACTTAAAATCTTCCAAAAACTCTATATTGAAATGAAAATTATCTAAAGGCAGTATCCACCATTTTCTACAAAAATATTGCTTAATATTTTGTATTCACTCATTTTGACATTCATAGTGGGGTTTTACAAGTATCCTTTTTTCTTTTTTCAATGAAGAGTTGAAACAGACCAGTAAATTTAATGGAATCAGGATAGTAATTAAGTATTGTAGTGATCAGTAGGTGAATTAGTTAAGTATTGCAGCAAGTTAATCAGTATTAGCGGTTAAAAGCAGAAGCAATATCTAAGAAAAAAAAAGGTTTATTCATCAATGTTTGTTTACACCATCTGAAAATTCATCTTAAATTAATTGGTTAGAATGAAAGCAAACCAACTCAGAAGAACTAAAATTTTCAGAAGACACAAAAACCCGCACAGTAGGTGAGAAAATTGGTATTAAAAGAAAACTTTTTGGTGCCATAAGAGAAGCACATTGAGACACTTTAACAGCCAAAGTTGAAATGAATGGAACAAAAATACCCATGAATACGCTATTATGAAGTTCAATGTGTTTTCTGAACATTTTCCCAAGTTGATGCATTTTCATTCTCACTGATTCAAATGGCATTCACACTAATTTTACCAAGTATACCACTAACAGGGCAGCTTCATTTAGAAAACTTTTCTAGGTGAAATTTACATGCATCAAAACATCTTCTTAAAATAAAAAAAGGATTAAAAGTTCTCAAAATTAGAAAAAACTTAATTTCAAAACCAGTAACTCTTTTGAAAATTATTTTTTAGAAGTTTTCACTGCCATATGATTGGACTACATTTTGCAAAAAGGAGCTCTTGTTTCTGGTTCATCCCTAGAAGCACGTATCGGCACAGGGAAACAAATGATAAAAAACGCTGTTCTTAAAATTAGTTAGAAATGATAGTTTCTTATTGAAATTGTAGTCCACTTTTGAAATGGTGGTATTTAAATTAGTTTCACTCAAGAATTCCGAGCAAAATTCCGAGAGAATTGTTTACAGAATTGAAATTATGCAAAAAAGTTATCAAAATAATATCATCAAAAATAAGTTCTCTTCATACATAAAAAGCAGGGAATAATGATAAGATTTACCCTCCACGTAATTTTTTATAAGAGACACATCTAAAATAAAATATAGTATCACAATCATAAAACTAAAGATTCCTTGGGAGTGTCGATGATTTCCTTGGGAGGTTAGAAAATTAAAATTGAGTCTTGCTATAAAAACAATATTTCGATGATTTATGAGCTAGTTTTTTCTAACAATTTCGTACAGAAGTAAAATGAAAAAGAATGAGATTCAGCAATTTCCAAAGATTAGGAATTGGATGTCACGGGTTAGTTTTTGCTAAGGAAGAAATATACAATCAATGATTTGGAAATTTACACGATTCTAAAATGTACAGCTAAAACATAAAAAATATGATTTTCACTCGTAAATATTAATGAACTGAACGCCTTAGTATATTCAAGATAATGGTAAAACCAAGAAAATAAAGGGTATTACGACAAAAGCCTTGAGAAATATTTGGTACCGACAACATAACAGGTAATATGATTCTGGTTGTGTAAAAATGGTAAAATGGCAGATTCATGATTTACATTAGAATCTTTCATCTTAATCTTCATGCGGAGTTGGTATCTAATTATAATAATATTTAAAAAAAAAAAAATTCTTGAGGTACAATGATTTAAAATTCATAAAGAGAAAAAGAAAGAAAGAATATTTGGTAAAAATTATCAGTAACTGTGACAATAAATACATATAAATCAAAATAAGTATGATGCCCTTTTATCATCATTAGGTTGATTGAAATGAAGATCGCAAATGGAAAATTGAAAATGTCAAGTTTTTAAAAAAAAAAGCCCCACATAACATCCTGAATGAAAGGCAATCAGAGCTGCTGAAGAGGACAGAAGTCAAGGATTTTGCTTCTCTTGCATTTAAAAGAAATTTACTTTTACTATTCTAGAGCATTCAAATAATAAATTTCTTGAGATTTTTTCGCGATAAAAATGCTCTGGGAATCGGAAAGGTCTTACGAAAAAATTTAACTTCGTCCTCTTTAGAATTCAAGATTCACTTTCTCCAATATTACTCGTGTTTGCTCAACAATTGACACCGTAGAAACATAACACATGAAAATGGCACCTATAATTTAACCTAGGAACAGATGGTAAGCACTGGCATTGTAATTGAAAGAATTTCATCAGGCGTCCAAGATACATAGGGTCATGGATCAAAATTTAAGTTCCTTAAACAGAACTTCCAACTGTCTAATACATCTTGAAGGATTCAGTACAGCCCCCTAACCTTAAAAAAAAAAAAAAAAATTATTTTACGTAATTAATAAATTATATATCACGTTATGAATTACGAACGGTACGAGAGGTTTCAATCACAAAGTTCGGGTGTTGAGCAATTATCTTCGGTCTCCTAAGGAAAAATCCTTCTGTGAAACTGACGGAGCAACCTGTGGCTTTAAACAGTGAAAACCCCATTTTCAGAATCTTTTTCTATGCTGGAAAAAAAAACAAAAAATTGAGTATAATTAGATCTGCTGAAAACCTACATTTTTTTCTCTGTTTTCGCATTCTTAAAAAGAGTTGAGAGCCTTATTGAAGAATTTAATGGCAAAGAGGAGGATAAAATCTGAGCAGACTGCCAGGCCATCAAATTAAGGTTAGCGATTGTTGGACATAGACAATCTGTCCTAGTTGTATTAATGCTATGTTGGTAGTGCCTATTTAGGTTTATGTTGGTAGTACCTATTCAAGTGCACCTCTGGTGCTAACCTCTGTTATCTTTTGTAAGATCCGCCATGATCCTCTAATTGCTCATGTACTTCTCTTAATACAGCTTGTGTCTAATGGCCTAATCCTCTGCGTTCTCTTTCTCATTTTCCTAAATGATCACTCCAACAGCGATTACTTGTTCAAGTATTACTGTAAGCCAGTTAAGGTTAGGGAAGGGGGGCTGAGTTTGACTTACAGGATCTTATGAGGGGGAGGGGGGCCAGGTCAAGGCTTACTTAAGCCTACCACTTAAAAAAAAGTTCACTATTTTCCCGGTTTTTCCTTATTTTTTTTGATGGGGGGGGGGGNGGTGCGGATCAGCACAGCTTATGTAATTCAAGAGAGAGACTGGCTTACAGGAGGAGGGAGGGGATAAAAAAATCAGCATAATTGCATGTAATTTCCTTGCAAAGAGCTTAAAAAGTTAAATATGAATTGACTTCATGGATACTAGACAAAACATTAATTTCTGTAAAAATTCGATAAGTTTCGGCACATATTTAGAAAAAGATTAGCAAGCAGCCAGCGTATTTGAAAATTTCTACAATCTGCATGAAAACTGTACAACAAAATCGAGTCTTTTCTGTAAGTGCCCTGATACTTATGATATTTTTAGGTGGGCTTTTCTCTTAACTTTCCACTAAATTTCAACTAAAGACACTTTCCAGAGTTTTTCAGCTGAACTTTTGGGGTTAAGTTGAGAGAAAATCTCGGCTCCACTATTTTAAAGACAGAAATGCAAAAAACTTGTACAGGTATGGGTGAAAGAAATTATTGAAAAATACTTACAACAAGCCTTGTATGTAGGATCGAACACTTTTCAGTGCTGAAATGGCAGAATTGTCTTTTTTTGATGAGACTTCATGATTCAAACTTGGTTGATGATTACCCACTGAGGTGTAGAAAATTGGCTCATGCAGTGGGCAGTTTGTGTGAATGTCATCATACACAAAATCATGTTCCCTATGATAGCCTTTGGCGCCATCACAATCCAAATTATTCAAATCCTTGTCAAAACATATTCTGATTTCGAAAAGATAAGTTTTCGCTGTTTTCTGCAATGTAAACAAACGTTAGTTAGAAATGGCTACAAAATATGGCAAATAAGCTGAAATGGGAATGAAAATAAGCTTTTTAGATTTTCGATCTTGTATCTTTTAAGTTCTAAGTGTTTTAAAGAATATCTCTGAGAAATGACATTCACTCAACCTGGTAACTAAATGCTTAAGGGACCTGGTAATCGACGGAATGAACGAGCCTGCCTGTAAACAATTTGTTTAAAAACTAAATGGAAAAAAACAGGTGATGACTGTTAACTTTTAGCAACCATACTAGTAAAAAAGAAAAATTCAACCAATGGGGGGAAGGGATGGAAATGACATCGAGTCCTGGGTTGCCACAGTGCTTAAAGAAGTTCGCTGATTTTCTTAACACATTTTTAGTAGAATTTCATCACAATTGAACATATGCCAGGTGGTTAAAAAGACATTCCTGAAATAATTTTCAGGCAAAATTTGTTGTTTAGAACGTCAAACCTATTCCAGAAAGAAAATAAAGGTGACTTAAAATTTTATCCCAGACTCTTTCATCATTTTCCTTGATATTCTCAGATTTTCCCTGACTTTTAAAAATTCTGAAACTTCCCAGTTTTCCTAGTGTTCTTTGACTGTGGAAACCCTGTCATTTACATTGGTTGGACAGCCAGTACAGGATTTCTGACGAAGTTCTTGCTAACCTGGTCTTTCAAACATCGGATGACAGGTTTCTTCCCAATTGAGTCTGTAACAGCGTTCCAGATATCGATAACACTAACTCCACTGTCTTCCTCTACTTTCGGCAAAATCTGATATTTTCCCAGAACCTTCTCCATGTTGTATTCCTCGAACCACTTTAATCCTTGGGAAAAGTACTTGAGCTCTGTATCTAGAGGTGGATCAGCCATCGCACAGGTTCCATGCTTCGACCATTCGTGGACCCACAGATCATTTGCCGGCCGACCCTGTTCAACATCCAGCCAGTACTTGTTGAGGTCATCTTTAATAGGTTCCAAGAGAGTTGCGTTGAAGTGGACCTTGTTGCAGAAGAATGGGCCTTCTGTGTTGGTTCTTGTGGGCCTGGAAAATTCAATTTATTAAAGCATTGAGATATTTGATACCAATTGTGGAGGACATTGGCATAAAAGTTTTGTTGTCGGCGGAGGATATGATACAAAAAATGAAAGGAATTTGGAGTTGTTACGATTGAATTGTTTTTTTACATTTACAAGTTTTTGGAGACGTTTATAGTGAGGTAAGATTTTAAACTTGTCTACACACGTAGGTAATTATGAGAAAATCAGGGCTGAAGAGTGTCTACAAAAATTTCATTTTCGAATTACCTGATTCTTCTTGATTTTTAAATGAAACATCCAAATTTGTTCCGCAAAGGAATTGACTCTTGTTTGATTTTACAAACCTAAATATTTAATAAATTGACTCAAATGCTTTACTTTTGCGAGCCCTAAACTGCAGGAAAGTGAAAAATGCTTGACGCACTCAGAATTTTCTACCTAATGCACGACTGATTTTTCTGATTTTTTCGGATGAAATCGAATTTCCTGATATTCTTCAATTTGTATAAACAGTAAACACCAGTGTTTTATAAACGGTGAAAAGTGACCTTATGGAAAATTATTTTTGAAAAATTATAATTTAAAAGACAATCTTACGGTACCTACTAAGAAAACTGTGTATTGTTGGGTTTAGGCAACGACAAGCAATATTTCAGAGCATGATCAATTTTCTGAACAGGTAATTTAGATTTCTAGTTTAACTTACCAAATACCATGAATGGACCACATGTTTGTGTCTGCAGGGAAGTTGCAGCCGCGGCCTGTCTTTTCATTCCAACTCAGACAGACGGTGTTCGGCCAGTGTTGCGTGAAGATGAGGAAATCCCAATCTTTGTTGCTTTGTTTGTCGTTTGAATGTGCATAGTTGTTGGAGTCATGGTGGTGTGGGTGAGAGTGCCCATGACCGTGCGGATGATGAGAATGCGGCTCATGATTACCGTGAGGATGCCCATGCCCGTGACCCCGAGTGAGCAAGTTCAGAGATCCTGGTGATCTGTGCGACTCCTCTCTTTCATGATGGCTCATCAGCTTGTGGCTGCAGAACCAGAGACATTTTTAGGTTAGTAAACACAGAATCAGTTTAAGGGCAACATTATTTTGAGAAGGAAAAAAGAAAAAAGGAAAGAAAAAAAAAAAAACAAGCGAGAAGTTTCCATGAGATTCCGCAAGGGAAAGCTTGGATTCAAAACCATAATCAAGAACTGGAAAAAATCTAGAGGACTTTGAAGGAGTTGAAAATTATTTGCATTAATGCATTGAGGATATTTTAAAAATCAAAACTCTTCCCCTTCCACTTATCTATCATTCTCTGCACCTGAGCATACAAAGAGGCAAAAAATGTAGGTACACAAACACAGCTGGAAAAATTGTGTGGGTCTATCTACCCGAGCTGTATTTATATTAATTGACTTCGAGGATTCAAACTTTACTTTAGGGGGCGCCCCCTTCCATTTTGAGAGTCTCTACTAGTCTACTGCAAGAAAAAAGAAATATTTACCATTTTTCAAACAATCGTGAACTGAATCCCCATACTATAAAAAGTACGAATGCTTTTAAGAAAATTTGGAGATTGAGAACTTAAAATAATAAAAACGAGCAAATATAATCAAACCATGAGCCCTATTTCATTGTAACATGTGGCCCAATCTGTAGCCTAGGATCATGCTTCAAAATTTTGGAAATAGAGTATTTAGAATACTCAAAAAGAGGAGATTCTGACACTTCATTTGAGTTCAAAAGGCAGTTCAGTTTCGATCAGTTCTAAACATCGGCTATGTGTCTATGTTTTCTCTTGTCCTCTCATGTGTTCATTTTTTATACATTTATAAAGTGTTTATTTGTTATATTTATCTCATCTGTCTGTATTTTTTTGATACATTCAAGCAGAAAAATAACATGAAAGGCCATCCTTACTTACCTGTGGAACATGGTCACAGTGATCAAGAAGTAAGCAATCACAGCAAACGAGATATAAAACCATTTTCGCCAGGGAGATATCGCGTAAGTAACTACCTCATCCTCATGCTTCAATTGAGCTGATGATTTGATCGCAACCATCTTTTATCTAAACATAAAAAATTTATAACATTACTTATTTCCCAGAGCAAACAAAATTATTGTAAAAAAAAAACCTGAAGAAGTTTTGCAAAAAGAATAAAAATTAAACACTATCTGCAATGCCAAGTGACATTCTAGACCCATTAGACCCATTCAATGAGGAGCTGTTCAAAAAAGAGTGGAAAAAAAAGAAGAAAACAAAAGTTGGCAGCCATGTTTTTTAAGGTTAATCTTCAGCTGTAGTTCCGAAAAAATCCACGACGTCGCGCTGCTAAAATCCGACTCCGAAATCAGTGATTATTTAAATATCACAATAGGTATCTTAAATTCTAAGACTCATAAGTTCTAGCAGCATACGTCTGGAATCCTTAGAAACAAACGCGAGCTTTGAAAGTCTAATAATAAAAGCTGTAAATTGATCCCAGTTTCTCTTACGGGATATCTGTAAGTGCGAGAGAGACAGCTCACGGTGGGAGAGAGATATCTGCCAACTGCTGAGAGCGATCAAGCGCGATTGGTTGCATCAAGGTCATCATGCTTAACCCTACTTTTTTCTGGGATCAAATTGCAGAGCTTCAGAAATAACTTTTCACGTTGTTTTTAGGGTCAATAGGAAGAAGAATGTTATAGCTAGAACTTATTTATCTTCGATTTAAACAGAAATTCCTTCAACTTTTATAAAAGCTCAAGGACTCACGTGGTGCTGAACGGACTCTAAAACACAGCGGTGGCGCCCCCTGCGCGGAGAAATTTCTTACTTCACGCAGCTGTAGATACACCTTAATCAAGTTTCAATCAAGTGAATAGTCTTTTCAGATAACCTGCAATGAAGGACAAATAGGTAATTCATTAATGTTTACGATTTCACATTTAATGCAAGCTCAGAAACAATTATCCAAATCACTTATGACAAATACACAATTGACCACTCTGCACAGGGGGAAATTACCTATAAACTACTGCACATTGACAGTGCCTCTACCAGACCACATACTATGCCGGTTAGTGACTTTGTGGACTTCTTATCATACTTTATTATTCAAATGGAAAACTACTCAACATCAATTCTTGAAAACTTCCGTTTTCCCCTCTCTGTGCAAAGAAAACTCGGTGAAAATTTCAAGGAATGATATTGATTTGTTCTCCCTCATAGAAATAAAATGGGAGCGGAGATTTTTAAACACTGCAAATGAGATATGTGGTCTGGTAGTTTCACTGTCGCCATGTTTCCTCATTATAGAATCATGCAGTAACACATAGGACACATCAAAGACTTCAAAAATTACTTCATACATGAGTAAAAGTGAAGGATTGTAGTGAAGATTAAATACAGTGAATTCAAAGTTCCTGTTGGCAAAAAAACCATAATTAACGTATGCCAAATCAGGCACTAAAATCAATCTATGCATTACGCACATGACTGAAGCTTTGTTTTACACGTGTTTCTTTTCTTCTACAAAATACTCTAGATCCTGTCAGAAAAAAGTTAGTATGCAGGAAAATTCTTCCAACGTAAAATTGACCGAAATTAGTGTAATGATCATCAGTCAAACTTAAATGCAATGAGTCAAGGATGTTTTTAGGGACATAACTACAATGAAAGCAGAAAAATCCAAAATGGGCGTACTTCGTCCCTTGTGGTCACATCAGTAGCTTAATTGTTGAAATTTACATCAGCCAACAAAATAAGGCTATGTCAAGTCTTATCTTACCGACAAAGCCACTTAAAGTTTCAACAATCAGGCTGCTGGTGAAGTTCTATGGGAATAGGTACATACTCCCTTCATCCTCCAGTATATATGTTTAACAAAACAAAACAATTACAATACTTCGCTGTGATGGGCTTTCAATAGGGAGGAAGTTTCTGGATAGAGCGAGCTGATTACAGAAGTTGGAAGATATGTCCCTATCTACCGATACAGAGGAGATGCTCTTCGTTGCCGTTTCATATTATGCCCTCTACTAGGCTGTTGACCTTCTAGGGTATTTTTGATGCAAATATTATAAATTTAAACCATCTTTTCCCTTTTGGTACCTTGTGGAGTTACAGTTGCTATTAAATACGTTGGGGGCGAATGAACATGTTATGATAAACAGGCTGAACGATGCGATGAATGTTGGAGGATTCATGCCATACCTACTAGATCGACACAAAGGATTGGAAGCAGAATTCTCCTCCATGTTCGAAAATAGCGCAGAAGGTAGTAGGAGTCAAATTGAGACAATTTCAGAGTAAAATAATAGCTCTTACCTCCAGCACGAAGCTTGTCCAGACAGTTAACAAAGTAAAAGTTGGCGAATGCAAACCACTGTAATTATCGCAATCCGCAATCAAAATAAAAACAATCGCTTCGTCACTGATATGATGAGTTCACGTACTTCACCACAGAGTGCGCTGAAACCAAGCATGTAAAAAGAGCGGTAAAATTTAAATGTTTACATTCAAATCAAAATATAAAGCGTAGGATAAATCTATCTATTGACTCGGAAAATTCTGCTAAATTAAAAGAATTATGTATCAGTTTCAAAGATATTACAAGGATTACAGCTACCATGATAAAATAGGAGAATAAATTTAACTCTTTATAAATCAGGTTAAAATATCAATACTTGGCAACAATGTGAGAGCTAGGTAGTTGAGAGGGGGAAGGAAAAAATGTAGGGGAATGTCTAATTGCTTGTTTACAATGGCATAACAACAGGTAGATTTTCGTTTTTATGTTCCTGAGATTTCTGTGATTAATGAATTACATCGAAAATTGATACGTGTACAGATCGTAAATTCAGAAATACTTCGCTCGACTGAAATCTCGGTTTTTTCATCTTTGAATCTTTTATCGCAATAGCAGTGGTTTCTTTCGTTACATGTGTATTCCTGTTCATGTGTCTCGGAAGTTTTGAAGCAAGTGCCTTAATACACTACAACATTATTTAGGACCATCAAAGCTGCCTCTCCATTTAATCTGTCTCTAGACCGTAAGTTTTCTTTCAATAATGTTTTGTAAATATTTCAACAGAACTTCAAAACTTTGCATGTCCTATTGTGTCGAGATCAATGCTCCATCAAAATATGCCAACCAGGAGTTTTTATGGCATAGTTAACTGCATCCAAACGGGTATTATTCTGTATTCTTAAACATTACTAACCGAAATGTGAGTGGTATTTGTATAATATTGTCTCATGTGGGCCCTCTGGTCTGATGTCCAACATAGAAGATTGAACATTTTTCTAAGTTTGCACAGCTGCATCTCAATGCAACATTCCTTTTACTGAAGAACATCTCATCGCATGAGGTCTAAGGAAGTAGTCTAAGCTCAGCAATCAGATAGCATCAAAATCTTTACACACTAGATCTTAAGCTGTTTTAAGTCACAGCAAGAGACTCTCATGTCCAAATTTTCACGCCGTCTGCTACTGAATACCGGTGATTACAGCTGACACCATCCTTTTTTCCGCAAAGTTAGGATAGCTTTTAATAATTAAGGATAATATCATAGGCTTATGTTGTAGAAATGCATTGGAATATGATGGCCCGCCATACTCTTTTGTCTGAGTCCTGTGCACAGTCTGATTGTGAATGCCACAGCAGAATGAATGGTCTGCCCTTACTCAGTGGTTGTCAATACAGTTTCACCCATTCTAATTCTGTACAGCTGTGCCAAAAAATCCGCTCACAATAGCCTGATTCATTGGCTGTTTCATTTTTTGTATTTTGCCGTTTGATGGCTCCACTGTAAACAGCTATACTTCTTAGTCGTATTCACGCTAGGATGGTGGAATACGTCTAAGTGTTTAAGGTGCGTCTAAGGTGGAAAGTTGGTACGATTACTTATGGTGAGGACCCATTTGTTGAACTGTTTTCAAAATGCAGACATTTTCTAAGAATACTATTTTTCCCCCAAATTAATCACCTGAGAAATAAAGTATTATTTAATCTATCGCCAATTGTAATACTCGCAAATGTTTACTCAAAAGAAGTCAATTTTTTATGTTTCCTTCATGTATGTATGTATGCAGACAGATTTCTTTTGAGTAAGCGTGCGCATTTACTTATTCTTTGTCTCTTAAATTTAGAATTATTGGGATTTGTCAGCCATAAACCATTGCTGAAAAGATAAAATATGAAGTGGTAAAGATGTTTTTAGTAAAGCGGAGTATGATATGAAATGTTTTATGAATATATATCTTAATCTATTGCATAATTTAAGATAGTGGGGTGGCCAGAAAGGCTAGGAGCTTTGAAATTTTTTTCCTGCTTGGTTCATGAAATGACCGAAAATGTCACCAGACTTTTTCAACCCAAAAAGTTGATACTAGGTGAGTGCAGAAATTTCGAGGAAATTGTTGATTTTCCAATCAAAAATTGCCAAAAAGGTTGAAAGAAAGCCTGAAATTGTATGAAAATTGTTATGTCTTTAAAAGAAAGAACAAATTCAAACTACCTTGGGAAAAAAAAAGTTAAAAGATCTTGACCTTTCTCTACCCTCGTAATTTTCGCCGAAAAAATGTCTGGAGTGTGCTTAAACTCCATTGGTTTTAGGAAAAAAGAGGTATGAAAGGGCGGAGGGGAATCAATAACGCCAAACTGTATCTTCATTAAATTAAACAGAATAGTTCTATTAATGTTGGAAGCAAAATTTATTATGGGAAAAATGAAAAATATAATTTCAAAAATTAAACAGAAAATTCGACTGAGAATTGCCTATACCCCTCTTGGTTCGTCATTCATTGAATGGAACATACATTCAACCAATTAATTAATTACATCGATTGAAACGGGATTTTGTGGAGGATGCAGCCCTGCTTTTATTTTCGCGACAAGCTGGCAACAAGTCAGGAGAGAATCAGGAAAGGGGCGAAAATGAGTGATGCGGTAAGTGGCGTATGGCGCCAGGATTTTTAACGGCGGATTAAACAGAACGCATTTCGCTGTATTTCCAGAAGACTGGTCATCGTCACCGCACGGCGGTCGAGATTGTCAGATCGTGCGCGGAAGACCAATTATTTTTGATTTTCCCAGCAGTTAAAATCGTTATTTCTCGCACTACATGGCACTATGTTGCCAATTTTCACGGAATATCTCCTATTTCTGCATGATTTTTATCGGGCATCCGATACATTTTGAAACATCCATCAGAGAACTGTCCTGCTGATAGTCTCAGCTGAGAAAACAGCGGTTATGACATGATGGAACAAGACACGATGTTTCAACGCTCTGTCCTCGTGTGAAACTGCGAATCTGTTTTGATGCGATTCTGCATTGGAAACGTGTCATGAGGGAACTCTTAAGTAATTCAGTCACATTCAATAGAAGCAACGCATTCAATGATGTCGATAATAACGTCGTGATACAAATATTCGTACTCTATGGACGCGCGTGTTGCATATGAAACAATTGAAGGCGCTCCGGTCGCTCAAGTCCATGAAGAAGTGCACGTAGCGGTGTGTAACGCGCCGGTGCAAAGAAGATGAAATTTCTAATTTGAGCCTTTTCATTTTCACTTTCTGTTGCCGCCAATTCACCGGGAGAGCACTACAAACTTTCAAAACAGAGCTTTTAACAGGAGTCGACAAAGCTTTCCACAATTCCGCAAAAGTCGAGAAAGTGCCCTCACCGAAACTGATGTTTTTTTTTTTTTTTTTTTTTTTTTTTTTTTTTTNTTTTTTTTTTTTTTTTTTTTTTTTTTTTTTTTTTTTTTTTTTTTTTTTTCACTGGAAAAAAAACACATTGGATCTAGAGTCTAGACTTTTGAAAACATTGACAAGAAAAATACTCTTGATTCAATCGGATCTTTGCTGGAATCAAAATGAAATCCGTTTAAATTAAGAGGCTTGGTTCTTGATTTAAGCTAGATTCTGATTGAATCAGGAGTACTTTTTCTTGTCGATGTTTTTAAGAGTCTGGACTCTAGATCCAATGTGTTTCTTTTTCCAGTGTTGGTTGTTGTTGTTGTCTAGTTTTTAGTCGGACGAAAATTTTAAAATGGTAATGGGCCTGTTGCAAACTTTTGCTAGAGCAAAAATAAGAGTTGTTTCTTGTAGATAATGCCTCAAAAATCACGATGAGCGCATCGGCAAACTCTGAAATGCACTCATAACTTCACAATCTGCGTAAGAAATTTGCGTTTTTTT